CAATTTTTTAATGAATTTTGGGATTTACCTGCTATAACAGTGATTAATAAACAATGATAACTAAAATGAGTCATAATGATTTAATGAAATATGTGTTTTTGATGTTTGGACCGTTGCCTTAAATCGTGTTCCTCTTCGCTTGAACATAAATTTCTACTTTTTTACTCTTCCATAATTGTTTTTCGGCGATAAGTCAAATTGTTCTGCCACTTCCGGTAATCAAAATCGAAAGATCGACGAAGGACATATTTGCGTTTTAGGCACTCCAGAAAACGGAATAAAAAATAATCCAATTTTAATTTTAAATGGCAAATTTCTGTTGGACATGTTGCCAAAAAAATAGTTAATAAAGCTGCTACCGGAAGTGTGACGCCATTCCAAAATGGAGTCCAGTAACTAGAGACGCCGTCATTTCATTTTTCTCTTCCAATGGTTTAACTTTTAAATATTTTAAATTTGCATCTTTCCTGAAATTTAGCAACAAGTCAGCTGAAAAAAATCCTAGCAAGTAAGTAATTACAATGCTCACTGTTTCAGGAAGACATTATTGTGAATTATATTTGAAACTATCATCTTGTGTACGTTGTTGTTAGTTACACAGAGAAAATAAAATAAGAAGCGTGTCTGCCGTTATTTCTTTATGTCCAGAACTGATAAAAGTCGATAAAAGTTTATGCAATATTTAAGAAAATTCTAAACAAGGATTCGTTTGCAATATTTTCAAAATTGTTTACTGTCTGAATAAAATAAATCATTCGAATGATGCTTTTAATTTTTTTGTATCAGAAGTGAATATTTATGAAATATTTTTAAAAAATTATATGAAAAAAAATTGAAATTTATTTATTTTTCTCTTAGTAGATTTTAATTATTATTATTTAAAGTTTTATTTGAAATAAAATTAAGAAATGATCATTAATTAGTTACTTAAAAAGTTTTGACACTTTTTAAAAATCTTTTTTAAGTGAAAAGTTTTTTTTTACTTTAAGACTCTCTTCCAGTCTTGTTAAAAAAGTAAAACCTTTCAGTTAAAAAACTATTAAAAAATACTGTCAAATTTTTTTAGGTTAATTTTGAATTAATTATCATAAAATAATATCAATAATTAATTAGGATAAAAACGAAAGTAAGCAGATGTCGAATTTGAATTTCCTTTTACTCTTTTCTTTTTAAGAGTAAAAAAAATTTAAATTCGCCATCTGCCATTTCGTTTTTATTTTGCTTTGTTTTTTGGAAAATAATTTTTATGATCTTATTTTCATGTTTGCATAAAACTTTGAAAAATAAAAGGCTTTCCTTTTTATTCAAAGAAAATAAATATTTGCTTTTAGAAAACGGAGAAAAAGTTAATGGTTGTGATGATGAGAGACTCCATTAGTAACTTTATTTTTTGACAAGTAGATTTTAAATAAAAACTGAAATTTCTCGCTAAAATTGACACGTTATAAACAGATTGAAAAGAAAAAGCAACAGGTAAAAAAAAATAATTGTTTTTAAAAACAGGATTGACATCATTTGAAGCAAACTTCAACATTCTGAATGTTTTTTTTTTATCTTCTTAACTCACTTTTGAAAAAAGTTTCAAAAATCATTAAAAATAGCAAAAAAAAAATTGCTAACAGAAAACAACTTTGATTTAAAAATAATCGATTGTATGTACTAAAAAGTCACAGGTATAAAAAAAAAGTGGTGTGGAGGGCTCTTTTTCGTTTCATCTTTCGAAATATTTTTCACGTATGAAATGCTGAATTACCTCCCTTAGATTACTTTGCATAGCCTCATATTCCGATCCTTTCTTTCCCCCAATGATTAAAAAAAAAAAAAAAAATACTGTGACCAACAAAACTTAGAATTTGTAATTTCAAGTTTACTGTTTCAAACGATTACTGCATGCCAAGCACTGATTTATCTTGCTTAATTTTTTCACTTCGTATTTTAAGCCTGCACTATTGCTTTTCCAAATAATTAGACTGATGGTCAGTCAATCAGTTATGTGCCATGCGTGATACACGCTTAGACGATCATGTATCTTTCGATACATGACTGACGAGGCAGATTTTTTTCCCGCGTTAGGTTGCCATTTGTTGTTTATATTGTTCTAGATAGTATTAAAATTAAATATTTTACTATGTGTTAATAATTGCAATAAAAATAGACATGTATCTTATGTGCCATGCATGATACAAGCTTAGGCGATCATGTATCTTTTGATACATGACTGACGAGGCAGATTTTTTTCCCGCGTTAGGGTGCCATTTCTTTCTGTGGTAGACCAGTTGCCATCCAAAGCTATAGAACCTGGTCTGTCCTGCTGTTTAACCATGGCTGGGGGGAGAAGAGAATTCATACCTTTACGAAGGGAATTAGCACATAAGAAACAGCTAGAAAATGTGCACATCAAATAAAATAGAAAAATGACCAGAAGACAAGATGGTCAAAGGCTGGTAACATTCAAGCCTAAATGCCACTCCTCCTACTTAGAGAGGGAAGGCAGGAGGACTTCATATATATATATATATATATATATATATATATATATATATATAATAATATATAATAAATTAACTGATTTAAAATGATTTTTTTTTTTTGCTACACAGTAATAACCATGTTTCCAAAATGGAAGCTAAAAACTTTAAATTTAATTTTGTAATTAAATTAAAAACATTAGTTCCATTTCATCCTCAAGTGAATTTTTTTTTTTGGTGCACAACTTTTCAAATCCAAAGACAGTAGGGCTGGCAATTAAGAAAAAAAAAAAGAATTTCAATTAATTACTTATTTTACAGATTCTTATTGGTCATAGAAGTTGCATTATATTTAATTTTTTTTAATGTATTAATAGAATAAATATTTGCTCAGAATATGAGACTAGGTAAAGTTTACAGATTCTAAGTCACATTTTTGTATTTCTTTTGTTTTCTTTTTTATGGAAAAAAGAAATGAACGCTCAGAATATTAGACCAGCTGAGCTAAGTAATTCAGGATTTGGTATGCAAACAAAAAAAGAAGCCTTGGATGTTTTTATAGATATCAGAAAATTGTCACTCTAACTTAAATATATAGCCTTAACATCTATCCCTAATCAGATAGATTGACAGGCACTTTCATATTCAATTAGTGTCTCCAATGTAACATCATCTTATATAATAGTAGTATGGTGTTAAGTTGCTACTAATGTGTAAGTCATGTATTCCTGTTGATGTTTGTTTTATTACCTTGCTTTGTTTAAACATTTTGAATAAAATGTGAATTTTTTTTTGGTGAAATGTAATGATATAAATTGTGTTGTCTATATGTACAAGATGTATATTGTCAGCTAAAAAGTGTTTTAAAATATTACTTTTTTTATTAAAATGGATTAAATGTCACTTGATGGTAATAGTGAAATTATCCGTTTCCATTCAAGAAACATTTGGCAATCATTGACCAAATATTTAGCATTAGTGTCATTTGAAATTTATAAAATCTTTTTCTAAAACAGTTTTTCAGGAAACTAGATAGCTATTGCTTTCGTTATTGAGACGTTTCCTTCCAGACTTTTAGTTTTTGGGAGTGTGGAAAGTAATAAGTCAACATTTAATTAAAATATTATTTTTATTATCATGAATTTTAAATGGGACTTATTTTCTGATCATGTAAAATTCATCTAAAGAGGTGAGTTTTGTTTGAACTTGTTTTCATATTTTCCTTAACAAGTCTGTTGGATTGATTTAGTCTGTAATGTGAATGTCATTATTTGATTTTATCTGTTTTTTTTTTCTTTAATGAAACACGCTGTCAAAACTTAAAAAACAAAAGGTATTTTATAAGGAGGGCAAACATTACTTAAACTCTTAGGCAAATAAATTGCATTGTCACATCTCTACACATCTGTAGAAAACTGTTTTTGTAATTAGTAAAGAAGAATACATTTAAGCAAAATTTTATTTTTAGAGGCAAAAAAAATAGGAGGAAAAGTAAATTTTTACATTTTTATTTTTGTAATTTTATATATTAAAGACTAATACTACATCTAATCTTAATTTGTATAAGACTAAATTTTGGCTGCATTAGTGTAAGACTTTTGTCTGCATCATTTTGACCGTACATCAGTCAAACAAAACAGTCTGCATTGTTTATACATAATGACTGCTTACTTTTACATGATTAGCAGTAATATTTAATTTGTATAAGTTTTTAAAGGCATATCTTAATAAATATTGTTTATTTTTAATTTGAATTTTTAAGCTATGCATCTGTTGATAAAATTTTATTTTAAAATTTGTGTTTGCATAGAAAAAATTTAGATCTACCTTGTCAAAATTCAATAAGTTAGAAAACCTACAGCATACATAATAAACATTGTGGGTTGAGCCAAGAACTTTTCAACACCCTCCCATATGTATAAACCAGTGCTTTTTAACTTTTCTGTAACCCCATCACCCTAACTTCCTATGTTGAAGGTACATGACACTTGAATTGAAAGCTAATCATATATTTTGTTGACATAAGAAAACTGACACTACACTTTTATCCTAAATAAAATGTAGCTAATACAGGCAGAAATTTGGCATTTTTAGAACATTTCCCAAAGGATATATGCTTACTATATCTAGTTTGAAAGTAGACAGTCTTGAGATTTCAAAACTGTTTTTTGTCCTAACTCCAAGTATTCCCTTCCTGCCACTTTTACTATTGTTTTTAAATATCCCACATTGCAATTGCAGTAATTTTGTTAAGAAATGTGATATGTAAATTACAATGGAAGACTCAGAATTATAAAAATATTTTTTTTGTTTTTATAGTCATAGTTTAAAAACTATATTGTCGATGTTTTCAATCAATTTTTGAACAAAATTATGAATGTTTTGATTGTTTCATATTTTATTGTGAAGTTAAGGAATTTTTAATAACTGATATGGGTCAGAGTTTACTGAACAAAATTCATGATAGATTTTGTGTTGTGTATTCACTTGTTTTCTTAAAATAATTGTTACTGTATTTCAGCCATCTGAATCATGGAGGTTGATGACAGAGAAGAAAATTTAGCTGTTTCAAGGTACTTTTTTTTTTTTTTATTCTTATACATATGCTGTTTGCCACAAACTCCTGATTAACACATTAAAGCCTACTGTCAAACCCAGTCTGTGTCAGCACTTCTGCACCAAGTCTATTTTGGTCGGCCCACTTTTCACTTGTGGATCCAGTCAAGGGCCTGCTTGGTGACACTAGAAGCAGGCTTGTGGAGTGTGGAAAAAAAGTATAGGTTTATAAAAAAAAAAAAAAATCTCCAGTATTATAATTAATACTGGAATTTTAGGATGAGTTCTCTTAGGATATTTTTCCTAGACACACCACTGCTGCTACACCTGCAGTACATGTGATGTCTTCACAACCCTTAATGAGTTCTAGGACTCATGACATTATGCAACCACAAATTGAGCAGTGGCAGTAATGGGTATATTAATCCATTAATAGCAGTGGTAGCAGCAGTGTCTAGGGCAAGATAGCCTAACAGAGCCCATCCCAAAATTTCAGTATTAATTATAACTAGAAAGACCTGTGAAAATTTCATGGTTTTCCTATTTTAATATTCTGATGAATCTTAATTCTTAAGTTAATGATTGAGTAAGTCGAGTTCTCTGACAATAACATATCCATAGAAATTCCCCTAACACATTGTTAAATATTTGAGTTTAAGAACTTTAATAAAATATTGCAATAACAATCATAAATATGAATGCTGGTCATTATTTTAAGAAGTAAGGGGGTACAAATGAAACATTTGAAAATGACAACTTTTTTCATTTCACTGAAATGGGCATTAAACACTTCTAACTTCGCTACTTTCTTTCATTTTCTCATTGAACCCAAGTAGTGTCTCTGATATGTCATTTCTGTCTTTTCATGCAGTCAAAATGGAATAGTCCATTATTTATGAGGTATTGGTAGGGTGTAAAGGTCGTATGAAGAGAGGGACAAGCAGAATTATTATATGATGATGATGATACTGGAATTTTAAAACTACAAAGTTTATAAATTGATACCAAATCCTGAATAACTTGAAATCTAATCTCAGCACAGTACTGTTTTCAAATGTCATGTGGAAAAAATGATTTTAATGTAAACTCTGTCAATAGTCAGTTGTAGATACTGATTAATGTGGACAACACATAAAAGAAATTATCATAAAATAATTTGATACAATGTTTTGGGAATTTGTAAATTTGATGCAATTAATAAATATCAACCCTAACATCAAATGAAATGTGCAAGTTGGATTAGAATTGGAGATAAACTTATTGTTGCAAGCAAAAGTATGCAGAGAAAAAGAAGGCTTAGTTTGGTTTCTACTTAATGGCTCATCAACCATTACAGGGTTATTTAAGGCCAGATAAATGTTTTGAATTGTGGTTGTTTTTGGTATAGTTTGATGTTATATGTTCATGATAGTTTTGGGGACAAGATGGTGAAAGTTTTTTTTTTTTTTTTTTTTTTTTCTTTTTAGTCAGTAATTAGAGATGCTGGTTTCTAAGACAAGTTATTTTGTATTTTGTTTGGGATACAAGTTGATTATTAGAGTTTGCATTATTATTTTTAGTGGGAATCTTCATGAAGCTGAAGGATTCTTTTCCCTTTTTTTTTTCCAGTTTTCAAAATATATTAAAGTTTTTATATAGTTTTGTTGGGAGTTTTTATAGTTTGTATAAAGTTTGATTTCCTTTAAGAAGTTAAGGATATTGTTTGGTTTAGTGTTTTGAAAGTGTTCTTTTGTATTGTTTGCTTGATAATATTTTGTTTGGGTTTGACTGAGAAGTTGACAATGTATATGTTTGACTGTAAGAGGTACTTGACATCTGTTTCATGATGGGGGAGTTTCATTTGTTAGTAGATGTGGGTGTGTCCTATTCTATTTCTTCTTATTGTTGTTCTGAAACCAGAAAGTCATTCTCTTATAATTGGTTGAATATTGTATAGTTAGGTTTTCAGTCCCATATCACTTGCCATTTTCTTTTGATATATTCTTTTATTTTTTCTTAGAGGGAGGTTAACCCTGCACAAGGTGCAGGGGCCACTAGAGGTAGAAGGTTACATTAGGATGTAGTTTGTACAGATAGGGGGGAAAGATAATGGTTAACCCTAGACTTGAGCCAGTTAAGATTGTAGTGATTGGGGAAACATCCTCTTGGGAGTCGATTCCACAGAGCAGTGGTTCACAGGAAGAAGCTGTTTGAGTGGAACTTCTTATTAATGGAATACAGAGGAAATAGGGGTGGTTTACTACAATGTAAGTGACTTGGCGGGTTCTTGCCATGAGGGTTAGAACTGGTGCAATCAAGGAATATAGTTCTTTCTCTGAAAGTAGCAATAGAGTACCAAGAGGCTTGCCAGATCGTGTCTGTCTGAGAGAGAGGTCGTTAAATAATTTGTCATCCACATAGACTCGGAGATACTTTTGCATATTATCGAGGCTGGAAAGTGTGGTCTGGGTAGCTTCCACCCAAATATGACAGTAGTACTCCATTTTTGGCCTGATCTGGCTCTTGTAAACCTATAGAATAGTATGTGGAGTCAAGTACTTACTAGAGTGGGACAGGAAGCCAACCATTTTACCTGCATCTTTAGTGATTACTTGTATGAATGAGTTCCACTTGAGGTCAGGTGTGAGTTTAACACCTTATAGTCTCTTGAGGTATGGTGCCTCCTTAAGGGGACATCTGTTGATCATGACTGGTGGTGGTTTGAAGTCTGACTGATGTTGATGTTGATGGAGTGTAAGTAGTTTGGTTTTCAGGGCATTGAATGTAAGCTGCTAGTTTTTCCCCACTGGATACTTTGTGCTATATCGGAAGACAGATAAGCTGCCAATCTATGATCATCAAAAGTTGCATCTGTATATCATCGTATCATTGGCATAGATGTTTACAAATGATCTGAGAATATTCTTAGGCAGGTCATTTATGTAAATCAAAAAGAGGGTTCGTCCAAGGAGTGACTCCTGGGGGACGCTTGACAGACAGTGCCCCGAAGGACTGGCCATTAATAACTATCTTCAGAGACCTACTTGCTAGAAAGGATTTTATAATTGAGAAGACCCTTCCAGTGATTCCATAACTGGAGCGCTTGTGTACCAAACATATGTGCCATACCTTGTCAAAGGCCTTCGAGATATCTAATGTGATGGTCTTTGAGGTGTGTTATTTATTAAAAGCCTCACTAATTCTGTGGTTGATGGTTGTTAGGACATTGGCAGTGGATTGGGCTGATTGAAAACTGTACTGCTTGTCGATGTTGTTCTTTTATAGGTGCTCTGTGTTCTTGTTGATTATAGCCTCAGAAAGCCTGCTGATGATAAGAAAACAAGATGTGTCTTTATTGGAATGGGGAAGATCACACGTCTGTGTTCTTGAAAACTGGACATATGCTTGATATTTTTATTTCTGAAGTCCATATGGGGTATCTTTATATTGGATGTTCTCCTGTTGAGGGTGTTTTTAGCTGATTTGCCTGCTATTTCATTTCCTACTATACTAGTAGGACTTTGAATCCAGGTTAAGATAACAGATTTTTATGATTTAACTATTTCAGTATAGGTTTCTAGAATGACTAAGATGTATGAATGTTTAGACTCTAAAAAATGCTGCTTACAGTTATGTCACATTGAAACACTGGTTCTTGTTTGATCATTGAAGTTAAGCAATATTAAGCTTTGAGAATACCATTGGATGTGCAGGTGGTGTAATGGATAATGGCTTGTTAGGTTTGTTATGTTCACTTACACACAAATACCCTTGGGAAAGGTATGACTCCACCTCTTCTTCCTCCATCTATGGGTTAAGTAATATAACTTGCATCAGTAAATCACTATTACCTTGAAAAAAAAAAATTTCTGGCTTTAAATAATCTGCAAAGGTTGATAAGCTGTAAAAAAGCAAATCAATCAATCTAAAAATCTTAAATGACCCTGAAGTGATATTTTCAGAAGAAATTATGAAAGTGTAAAGTTTCAATTATAATAAGATGTTGAATAGTGAACACAATCACGTTAATCTTTATGAAGATTGTCCAAAAAAATAAAGTACAAACATTTACAAATCGAACATGTTTATTACAATACAAATAAAATATTGTGCATATGTTACCACTACAACAACATTACTCTTTCACTTAATCACCATTGAGATTGATGCACAAGTGTATCTATATGCTAACCCTGAGGAATGTGATGTCAGGCAATTGGAGCTACCATTGCACCTTTTCAACAACAGCATCATCTGTGTGGAACCACTTTCCAGATAGATATCATTTGTAGACAGATGATAATTTGAAGAGTCCAGGTCAGGATCATGCAGTGGATTGGTGAAACATACTAACTTTTGTTAAGTTGCCTGTGTGTGAGACGGCATTGTTATGAAAAAGAATGACACCGTTGCACAAATCTTTTAGTCAATTTTGACTATTTGACCATGTCAACTGTCTGACCGTTTTGTGTGAAGTCCATTTTGTATGCAACTCTTCGCATCTCAAAACACAGTTGCTATGAGTGTCTTTGTTTTGCCAATTGGCAGGTGAGGAGGGGGGTTGTATGTATTGGATATTAAGCAAGGATACTTGTTTGGCTTTATTCACTTTGTGGTTTCATTTTTGTAACATTGATTATATAAGTTCTATGTCATGTGTGTTCCAAATAAGACAAACTGTAAACCAATTACCTTTACATACTGCTATCTCATGACTTTTGGCACATCACTGTAAGTTCATTTCGAAAGAGTGTTTAAGAGTAAATAGACAGTATTTTATTGACTATTTTAACAAATCTGTTATTAATTCGGCAATGTTATTAAGCAGGCATAAATTTGTAATCATGAAATCTTCTTACAATGAAATTTTTAATATAGAGAGGACTATTCAGAAACTGCATTTACTTTCATCACTTAATGGTAACTGTAATATTTTTATCACTTGCTGTTTTCTCAGGTCTAATTCAGCTGATTCTAGATTTGATATGGTGATTGGTGCTATTGAAGATATTGTAATGGGTAAGTTTCTTATTGTTTTTATTACAGATCATAAAAACAATGCATAAATTGGCATTTGACATATAATTCTAGAGATTTGCTTTATACTAGTTACTGAATAGAACTAGTTTGTTTTATTGCACTGGTAACCATAAAAAAGTATAAAATTGGCTGGAGGATTTTGATGGCCTTAACAAACATAGATCAAGCAATTTGTCTGCCAAGAGGTGAGCATTATATATATATATATAACCCAATAAAACTGTCAAAATGACCAAGGGAATTCAGAGCAGCATGAATCCATCCAGCCCTTATCTTAAATAACAACTTAAAAGAGACTGTTTGACCAACACAAGGACTGACCAAAATTCATGATAAAAAAAAACTAATGAAAACTACAGACAAAAATCCATTTTCTCCAAGTCATTCATTTCTGTAGTTCACTGCTACTAACAAGCAGAATTTTTTTTCTCCTGATGATGGCCATGCTGGCTGAAATTAGTCAAGGAATCTAACTGAAATAATAAAAACAAAAGAATATTAATATACAACACAGTGTATCTGAAGATTTTAATTTTTTAATATTTTTTATTGTTCAAAACATCTATGTAAAATGGCAGGAAGCCCTGTACCTGATTATATGTTTCTCTGATGCCCATGTCACATTGAAACACCATACGGTCACTGAAGTTAAGTGGTATCAAGCTGAGTCGATACTTAGATGGGTGACAGCCTCTGAATATCAGGTGCTGTAATCTTGGACGTGCCGATGTTGTAATGGATAATGGCTTTGAATTGCTAATCAGAGAGCAAAGTTTCAATACCAGTCAGGTCTATTATACTCACTTACGCACAAATACCCTTGGGAAACGTATGAATACACCTTCAACCCCTTTATATCAGTAAATCTTTCAATCTAAACATATTTTCTGGCTTTAAATAACCTGCTAATGGTTGATAAGCCATAAAAAACAAATCAATCTTATACCCAAAAAAGGATGACTATTTATTTCATACCTGTATTGGACACCAAAAATCACATATTTTCAGTAATTGCCAAATTTTAAAAATTGGGAAATCTACAGCTGTTTTGTTTATTACCTATTAAGAAAGTTATTTTTGGTTGTAAGGAAAGTGAATTCTAGGAACTGGAAAGTCCTTGTAATGATGTGATTGAGTGGCTATAAAGTTTGTTTAGCTTAAGTAAAAATAAAAATAATTTTTTTTTTCTCCAATGTTTTTAAGATTATTTTGTTTCATTTTCTTTTGCTATCTTTCAAGCAACTTCATAATTCCATCCTTGCCTTGTCAAACTTTTTATCTTTCTTTGCAAAGAACTGCTTTATGTACTTTTTGTAGTCTTCCAAGGAAATAATTTTTTTTTCAATAAGAGAATTCTGTAAAGACCAGAATTAATGTTAATCCCAAAAGTTGCAATATCTGCTGAATTGAGTGGATGTGTGAACACTTTCCAGCCAAGCTTATAACAATTTTGTTGCTTGGACACCAATGAATCATGGCGTCTAGCATTATCCTGATAGATTTTCTTTTAACTAATTCCAGATATGTTTCATTGATTGCTGCTTTCACTTGGTCTAATTGGGAGCAATACCTATTTGACGTAATTGTTTGGTTCTCTGGATAAAGCACAATAGTAGAGGACTCCCTTCCAATCCCACCATATAGACTGCATGACCTTCTTTGGCTGAAGGCTGGTTTTTGGTATTAGTGCTGGTTCATTTTACTTGCTCCACAATCTTTTATGTTCGACATTGTTATAAATAATCCACTTTTCATCATCTGTTACAATTTGTTTAAAAATCATTTAAATTCAGTCCAGTAGGTTTTTCTTTCATTTAGCTAATGTGGAGGCCACACATCAAAGTGAATAACATAGCCAAACATGCAAATGATTTTCAACACTTCATTTGGATATTTTGAGCATGTTTAAAACCCTTTCAGTCAGCTCCTGTCCCAATGTTACTAAAAACAGTATTCTGGGTGTTGTCACTTGGCAGGGTTATTGATCTTTATTGTAGACATCAGTATGCTGGGAGTTAACCAGATTTTATAGGAATTCTGTGGTCATTGTGTTAACCTCTTCATCTATGCTGAAAACTAATTTCACAAAACAAACCAACATGCTCTGTTGATACCTAACAACAGATTTAATGAAAACAAATAGAATTTAAAAGTAAATATGGAATTATTGTTTTATGTAGCCTGATTGACAACATTGGTATGAAAGTTTTCTAACAGTAATTCATATTGATATAAGTCACTTTGATTCTCTGTCTCTTGTAGCTCTTATGTTTTGGTTTTTTGTTATTTCTCCCAAACCCTGTTCTGCCATCCAGTTGCGCAAGCCTATCAATTATGTCACACACTGCTTTCCTGTCCCATGAGTATCAGATTTTCTAAGCCCTCCTTCCTCATTATGTACCTCAGAAACTTCAACTGCCTCTTCCTTTTGTTAACTATGCTTCCTCTTTGTTCCCATTCTCTCCAAAACCTTGTTGTTGCTCACATGGTCGGCCCATGGTATCCTCAGCAGCTTTCTGTAGAACCACAGACTCATCTTCATAGTGAGGTGAGCATTTGTTGTAAATTGTCAGTTTTGTTGCTTGATTTTGAAGTTTTATCAGTTGGAATCAAAATATTTTTTTGTGTAACTGTCAAAATATATTTATTGTTTGAGAAATATGAGTTTCTCACTGACATCATTATGTTCAGTGAATTATTTTGAATCAGTAAGGCAATAAAGTCACTAAGTTGCAGGAGGTTACTGAGTGAGAAATAACATGAAACATGAATTAAGACAGAAGATAATAATAAATGTTGCATTTAAATTTTTAAAGATCAAAGTTGACTAGAAACCAAGGAGTTGGAAGAGAGTTCCACAAGCAAGAAATTGTCAGCATAGAACTTGCGGTTCTATCTATTTCAACTGTAAAATGATGAGACAATGTGGTATTGCACTTAAATTTGTAAAGTCTAGGTACCATAACGGAAAGCTCATCAGACCAATTATGAAAGTATTTATAGAAAAGGTACAAGGAAGCTCTGTTGTGGCAGGGGAAAAGTGACAAAAGTCAAGATGTCAATAACATTGCAGATTTTTCTTTGGATTTTATCAAGAATCTTTAAATACATAGTAGCACTGGACCAAATATGGCAGCAATATCCAATTCATAGGCAAATAGTAGACTTATAAATGTACAAGATAAATTTTGTTGAAAAAAATTGTCTAGCACAACACATTGAACCAAATTTCCTAGCAGCAGACCTAGCTATTGATTCAATATAATATTTCCACTTCATGTCATCTGAGAAGGTGCAATGAGTTTATTTTCCTGGAGGTTAGCATCATCCATTCTGTTGGAAAACAAAAAGGTTCTTTGATTATTTTTCAGTTGCTTTTAAGCAGTTAAAGAAGAAGGAAAACCGAGTCTTCACTCAGGCAGCCACAGAAAGGTTGTCTTCCAAGCACTGATCTTGAGTTAAATCTTCTTGTCTATTCTCAAGTGACACAGTCTTGTGCCAAACAGTTTCATTCAAATGGAAAAAAAATAAAAAAAATAGTGCAAGCAAATTGAGAAAATGTTGGATGGGGGTCTAATAATTGATACAGTTTTCATAACAAATTGCTTTGTTGTATGCGATTGAAAATCTTTTCTTTGATTGCAGATGAGGAATTTCAGGTGCTACAAAATAGTTTTCTAGAAAAATACTTCCATGAATTTGACGATTCAGAAGAAAATAGATTTATTTACACAGATATACATACAGAATATGTAAGTTATTTTTAGCGGAAATATCAACACCATTCAAAACATTTGACAGTTTTGTTCATTTTTCTAATTTTTATTTACAAGCTGAAAATCCACCCAATGAACAGGATTTTAAATGAATTCTTTTCAGGATATCTGAATGAGGGTTTTAGTTCCAATCAATGAGCATGGATTGCATTTAATTTAAATTTTACAAGATTCAAAGTACACACATTTATTAATTTTGTTTGACTGCCATTTACTGTGTCTAAGGTCCTGGAGGTAGACAACTTGAATAAAATAAACAGAATAAGTCTAATTTGTTAAAATAATGATGCAATCTCATAACAATATTTTGACAAGTACACCTCAGGCCTTATTGAACAATCTGATTGATATAACTGAATTATTGTTACTACATTGTCTATTGTCGTTATTGTTTATAGAAGGTGGACCTAGCACAATAATAGGTGAGGTTATCTTATTTAAATTATTAGTTGCTATACTTAAGATGTTTTCTTTGAAGTAATTCCTCACCACTGTAATTATCAGCACTTTACACATGTTTACCAATTCCATTTAGTTAACTGTTTTATTTAAGTCATCCAGGACCATGAACCCAGTAAATGGCAGGCTTTTGTGTAAGTTGATGCCTCTAACTTCACATGAAAATTTATTGTATAAACTGACTGTAAATGTATCCATCCATTTTTTTTTTAATTGCATTAATAACATCAAACCATGTTTTTTGTGATCTATAAATTAATGTCATGAGTGGTCATTGTTTGTACTATAAATGACTCCCCTCCTCCCTCAATTTTATTGGGGAGGGGGGGGGGTGAAAAAAGCCATAAATTCCTGTTTCTGGCTTTCTATAAGGTAAATTGTCACCATTTTATATTTTTAATTTCATGCATGTGTGTTGTTTGTTTTTGTCGACTGCACAGTATAGTAGGGTCAGTTGGGTAACGTCTGTGAGAAAAAGAGCACCATGATGCGATTCACTCCATAAGAAATTTGGAAACTGTATGCCGTACTGCTTGGCATTCATGCCGGAAGCTCCAATAAAAAAACATTTCAGAGTGTTTAGGTGTCAATCTGATGACCATGCAGAGGATTTGAAAAGAGTTGGGGATTATGAATGTGCAGCAGCTTGGAAAACTCATACTGATAAGGGAAGAACTCCCAAATTTGATGGCGATGGCCTCACTCAGCACATAGGCCTACATCGTGCCTGAGGAAATAGTGTTGCCCTGAGTCAAGAGAGTGGCTGCTGGAAGGTCCTATGTCTGACAACAGAACTCTGTACCATACCACACAAGCAGGAGAACCCAGTCATTGCTGTCAGACAATTTCTGCAACTACATCACCCTTATATCTGGCCACCTAACTCCCCAGATTGCAACCTCCTTTATCATTAGCACAGTTAAGTGAGAGTCCAACAAATCTCCTTGTAAGATGAATTGAAGGCAAGGATTATGGCAGTATTTACCAACTTAAACAAAGATACCATCCAAAAAGAGTAGCTGGAGATTCCAAAGTCATCTTAAGGCTGTGGTTAAAGCCAATGGTTATTTTATTGAATAAATTTACTCTTAGTATTTCAAGATATATTTACCAAAATTACACAAAAATATCTGTTAAAATGAGATGTCACTGTTTTCATTTTTGTGTAATTTAGATAACAATTTCTCCATTGTACCCTGTATATGCTTAAACAAGACTATAAAGATTTAATTTAGCTATATGGGCACAAAGTAAGGTGCCTGGCATTATACAGATAGTGCAAATTGAAAATATTCAAAAACTAATATGGTGAAAACAAGCCCCAGAGTCACATTAGTAAGCCTAGAACATTAAGTGGCCATAGCTATAGCCATTTTTGTGTCATGTGATGACAGATAAACAAGACACATTAACAAATTATAGTAAGATCAGCTTTTCTGAAAACTGATAGGTGGGAAAACTTTTTTGAAAATAAAAATCTATTATTTTTAAACTAAATTTATAAGAAAAAAAAAATCTTTGCCATGTCAAATTACTGCAGAGTTATACAGTTTGTGTGGTGGTAAAACTTATTAATTACTGATGTTCTATTTTTGATCTTTAATTCTCTATTCATCAAATTTAAGAGAGCAATGTTTCAAGTTGAAAATTACATTTGTTTTCTCCTCTGCCAACAACTTTTTGTTCATTTCAGGTGAATCTTGTGGAGAAGTATCTAAACAACCGACTCCTAGAAAAGATACCTCAGTTTTCATTACCTGAATTCATGAATCAAATGATGTAAGTAGAAATTACAAAATGGCACAAATTATAGGAGGGTTGCTCCAAATGTAATGCTTCCTATTTTATTATGCTGACCCATGACAGCAGAGACAAGAACTGTCTGTTAATAACCCGGGATTTTTTTTTTTTTTTAATTGCATTGTTACAGACAGCACTTGACTGGCCATCTGCTTAGCACATGCTTTCATGCCAGAGGTCTTTATTGAAAACTTTGACAATTATTGATACTGGCTGAATGTTTATAGAGACCAAACAGTGAATGCAAGTGCAATGGGTAAAGTTTTGGCAGATGAAAGAGAAATTAGTAATACCACTGTCATGAAATAGTTCTAGCCAATGGTGCCATTATGCTCCCTGTATGTCGTACCTTACGTGGAAATAAATAGGAGGCATTACTTTCGGAGCGGCTATTTTATAAACCAATTTCATGTTACTTTGTTATCCAAATATAATTCAACTTTAACTTCATGCACTGTGCCCATCTCATTTTCCTGACATCTTTTTACTTTGACATTCAAAGGCATTTTTTTTTCTTCTTGTGAACTGCTCAGTTGGTACAACAAATCCCCTACAAGTGGTTGGTAGGTAATTAAAATAAAGAGAAAGGAAAATTCTCTTGAGCATTATTGACAAAATACTTAAATCTCTCATTCCACATCAAAATAAACAAGTTGACGAGCAAGATTTTGATCTGGTCTTTTGCTGAATGGGAAAGGCAATATATTTGGAATAATTATCTTCATTTTAGTTGGTTTTTAGCCAAATGGAAAGACTGGCTAGAACATGAACCTAATGAAGGTTTCGGGCAATGACAATAAGTTTTCAATTTTATTTTCATATTGTGATATGTAAAGAACCGCTTAACAAAATTCTAAGTAATTCATTGCCATCAAAGTTTGAGGATTATTGAATTCTGAATGGACTTTATTTCCATATTAAATTGATTGTGGAAAATTTTTTTTTTTCTTTTTGATGACCTGCTTAAATTAATCTGTGAAGGGGTATGGAAAAATTCTCAGCCAAACCAAGCAACTGACTTGTATAGTAAAATCTAAGAGACTATCAAACCAAGATACCATTAACAGATCTTATTGCATTTGAAAATGTTGCCTATGGGGACAGACAAAAAAAATTGGTTGAGATTTAGGGCTGCCTACAGAGATAAATTCAAGTTAATCTTGCCATTAGAAGATAATGACATGTCAACTCCTTATAATGCAGACAACGTGATTTAAAGAATTTAATAATATAAATTAATGCATTTGTCAACATAGGAAGATTTTTATGTAGATGCAAATAAGGCCATATATCCAGTTGGAAATGATGTAAGTTTATTTTATGGAGCATTTGAATTGATGCCTCAAAATTGTAGGAGGTCAAGGTTATAAATTGGGAAGTTGCTTTAACAAAAATGTGCCTGATTTGTACTTGGCTCACCGAGTTGGTCTGACTCGGTTCATGTTCAATTATTACAGAAATCCTTGTTTGAAAGATTTGTTTTTGAGTGGCCCAGCTATTGCTTCATCAGCAATTTGTGAACTCTTCCATCTAGACAATTGCTGGTCAAACTTTTACCCTTAAGTCTTGCCTGAGCAGTTTCTCATACCAGTTTGTAGAGTAAATATAGTCTTACAGAATTACTAAGTATCATCCAATGTATTGAATATTTCAGAAACCGGAAAAATGAGTTGGATGGTGAAATATTTGAACTTTTGCTCACCTTCAGTGATTTTCTCACTTTTAAAGAGATGATCCTGGATTACAAAGCTGTAAGTTTTTTTTTATTTAAATTTTTGCTATGAAATATATGAACTTGTAATTGAATTTTATACAGTAATAAATGATGAATTAAATTTTTTCCAGTTAACCAAGAACAAATCATTTTTAGAAATTTTTTTCTTTAACTTGTTTCTATTAAAGATTACTAAATCTATTTTGTCTTTCCGTTTCAGGAGAAAGAAGGGCGAACAGTTGATTTAAGTTGTGGTTTTACAGTCACTCCTTTAGGAACACGAGATAAAAAAGAAATCAAGTGAGGCCAAGTAATATTCTGTTGAAGATGAACTCCTGAAACACCAAAGTTGATTTATGGGCACTTCTGGTCAGATGACAAAAGCAAGAACACTGACTTTTTACTCTCTCAAACAGAATTATTCTTTTTTTTTTTTTATAATTCATGTCATATAAAATTAGTGTTGATTTGTTAAACATTTGTGATGTGAATTTTGTTCAGCATCGGAATTTTAGTCACAGATGGAGATTAAACTTTTGTATTCATGAATTTCTTTTTGTCTGGGAGGACAAAAAGAAATTTAATATCCAGGAGCAATTGTAAACAGGTGGAGAAAACAAAACAAAAACAAACTTTGTCTGTAAATGCAGAGATAGCTAGTGTGCAATTTTCAACACAAATTCACATTTGCAATCAACAGCATTTTTTTTTTTTTCTCTCAATGTCTTTCATAACATTTTTAAAGGAAATATTGGGTAAATTAGAGATTTCTCTCCAAAAATATTCCCTTGTACCTTGTAGAAAAAAGTAAAACAAAAAGACTTCATAGAAAACTTGCATAATAAATTCTTTTCTGATGAAAATACTAAACAATATTCTCAATGATCCATAATGAAATTAGCATGTGCCAATTCTTTGACTCCAATTTTTATAGAAAAAAAAACTTGATTATTTTTTTTTTTTTTGGAGGGGGGTATTTTGAATGGAGTTAATTGTGTCACATTAAATTTAAGTGAATGATTAGTCCTTGATTTTATTCATACTTTTATTCTTGATGTTTTCTGTGTGGCACCTTTGTCTCATTGTATAATGTATGGTCTTTCAATTGAGCTGAACTTCAAGTTGTACCAGACGAGCATTCGTATCCCCCGGTAGCCGATAAGGTAACATCCCGACAAACATGATTAAAGCTTTTGCTTGGCTGCGTATTGCATTCAAACTCTGAAATAGAAAAGCCGAGAGTTTTAGTTTATTGATTACACAATTTCACCATCTCATGATTGGAAATCGGTTACAAGAATGGGTGATTGGCTGTGCTAAAGGTCTTGGCTTACCCCACTTCCCAAAATACTAAAAATTTAGATTTTTGTGAACCCACCTTGGAACTTCTTAACATGTTCTCAGTTTCAAGAGTCAAAAGTAAATTAAATTTCATACTTAAAGAAAGAATAATTTTGCTTTTCATTTAAATTAGGACTTATCAGATTCTGTGTGAAGCAAAACCATTTCTAACGTATCCAGTAATTGTTTTTGCTGTAGTTAATATAATGGTGCAGCATACTCATGAATTTTTCTAAGGTTTAGAGTAGAGATTTTTTTTTTTTTAAGTGACAGTGAACCCCCAATGAATTTTGAAGCTTAACAACAAGTGTTATTTATCACTTTCTGAAAACAATTTTTTTGCTATGGAATCCCACCAGATCTTTTCAGCTCACCCTGCATCATCAACAAGTTCTGCACAACCTTAAGAGATGTGCACAGTTACTGTTAATGGATGCTGCACTGAAATTGATGAGTGCAGTTATCTTGGCCAAGATGATCAGCCATTTTTCTCTTTAGAATTTGGTGATTGTTCCAAATGTTTGATTCAGCAGAACAAATCAAATTCCATTCCAACATTGGATGTCAATGTAACTGATGATTAGAAAAAATCCAATACACACACCAAAGGGGAAAAGGTTAATGAAACTTTAGAAGCTTTTTTTTTTTATGGCACTTTCATCAACAAAATTAAGGCTGAATGGCAAGGTTTAAACTTTGTCCCCCCCCTCCTCCCCAAAAAACAGTTATTTCCTTGGCATGGCTATTACTGTATATACTTTTGTCTCCCTCAGCAATATTTATTTTTTTCAGAAAGCAATGATTATAATTTTAATCAAACCTCAACTTATGACTGTAGATTTATAACATTTCCATTATTTTTGGAGAATCAATGACAAAAATATTAAACACTATTTATTAGATTGTTTATTTAATCTGTTGGCAGATTTTCTAGGCATTTTTTTTTCTTTTAAAATTAGCAACAATTTCAAATTTTTTTAAACTTATGTCATTCAAACAAAGAGTGGGGAGGTGGGTGATGACCTCTAATTGCTGCAGTTTCCAGCCTTGGATTTCTATTGATTGACCATCCTTGATCAAAGATCATGATTATAAAAACATATCTGGAAATAGTGCACATTTATTCAAATTTTATTGTGCTATAGTTCAGTGATATTTTAAAAAAATTTTGAAGAAAAAACTCGCTTTCATAATTATTTATGGTAAATAATAAATATTGCATTGTCATTTAGCTTATATATTTTCATAATTTTGTAATGTTTTATAAAATTTTGAATAAAAAGATATCTTTTTAAATTTATTTCTTTATAAAATTTGAAATAATAAATATCGCATTGTAGTTGGTGCACATTTTTTAATTTTGTAAATAAACATTTCTTAGGGAGTGAAAAGAGTATACAGTATTTCTTAGGGAGTGAAAAGAGTATACAGTATTTCTTAGGGAGTGAAAAGAGTATACAGTATTTCTTAGGGAGTGAAAAGAGTATACAGTATTTCTTAGGGAGTGAAAAGAGTATACAGTAATAGTGATGTCAAGGGATTAACCATGCTTCTGATACTTTAATTTTTTTTTTTTTTGGTGGTCATGAAGGCTAAACGTTTTACTGGCTGTGAATAATTTCAGGGAAGCAAAAGCATCAATGAATATCTAGTGGCTGTTTGCCGCTGTCATTGTCTGCAGATTAAAAAATCAATTTCTCTAATCCATTTTCAGACTTTTTAAAGTCAATGCAATGATTTCATCTGCTCTAAATTTATTATTGAACCAAGTTTAAACTCTAGCCAAGAATAGGGCACAAGGCTGACACATGGATTTGAAGACATGGCACTGGGGTAAGTTCCTAAATGATAGTCATTCAAACAAGGTGAAATACAGATTACCTATTTGAGGAACAAGATTCATAACATTCTTAAACATATATTATATGGAAAAAAAAAAGGTTTTATAAAACTTACTGCTTCTTGACCTCCATCAATAATTTTAATAGGACCAGGACTTTGAGGAAAAGATTTCCTTAAAAGTGAAGAAAAAAAAAAACAAAAAAGAAACAATAAATATATGACAGGATATTTTAGAATCCATTTTTACATAAAAATCATCTTTTAAATAAAAACTGATTGGTTGATGCTGCATTAATCTGAATAAATCATGCTTATGATGATGTCTTAAAAAAAATTTGTAACTCGTTGGTTTATGGAGTGGAAAGATTCTTTCCATTTGTCCTCTTTTTTTTTTTTTTTTTTAACTTAAACCGGAAAATAAATTTGTTGACAATTTTTTTTTAAAACAAAAAAAAAAAACAACATCAAACTGAATAAATGACTTTCATTTCTATAAGTTAATCATTTTCTGTTCCTAAAGGAAAATCTAAAGGCAATTTGGAAAATATTCAAACTCTTCTAGTTGCACAAATCCCACATGCAGCAGAAAGCAGCTGGGTTAGATTGAAAGTGCTTTTGTATTTCATGAAGTCTTCATTTAAGATTTATTGAATATTTTTCCATATTATTTAGTTTTGAATGAAATTTACCACAAAACTGATTAGTTTTTTTGTTTATTAAAAAAAAAAAAACTAATTTTATTATAATAAATTTTTCTTTAATGTTATATGGAAAATAAGAGACAAAAAAACTTATTTCATTCACTGAATGACATTAATTGTATTTTCTTTTGAGGAAATGTTTGTAAATTTTATGTGCAATTGATCAAATTTCAGATAATGAATTTATATACAAAATCCTTCAAGTGATATTGTCTTTTGCTTTTATATTGAGTTAATTTTTTGATGGAGCTGGGAGTGAGGAGAAAAAGCAGTTAATTAATTAGATTTTAGCAGTATTGACTTTATTTTACATCAAAACACTAATGTTATAATAAAAATATTTTTATTTAAATTGGATGTCATTTAATTTATTATAATATTAAAAATAGATATATAAAAATCAAAATCATTAACTAAATATTTTTGTGTTCTGTATAACTCCAAAACAAATATTTTGACTCTTTCTAGGAAGGTTTTCATTAACAGTTTATTTCTGTACCCTATTTTGTTCATTTTAATTCAATAATGCTGCTTTTTTCTTTTGGCTTAATATTGTTCTAATGGATAAAAAGTGGAAATTGTTTTGTAAGGAAAGAGACAATTGTTTTTCACAAGAAAATGTTTTAAATTTATAAATGTTTTAAATAAGCCCTTTATTAAATAAAACGATTGCTGTGTATTCTTTTAATCTTTTCATTGTCATATTCGCAACATATTGGCCATTGTATGCTCCAGCCTTCTTCAGGTGATATATGTTAACAATAAATATAAGGACAACAGCTTGAACAATGTAAATTGTGTAAATACCTACAATACCACATCTCAGAAATATAAACAGATAAATGTTTTGTTAAAAATTTAGCCTTTTTACATTTGTGTTTATATAAAAAATGTTTAATGATAATTTAAAAAAAAATGTCCTTTATTAAAAAATATGGAATATTCTACAATTTATTTTTATTAGCTTTGCCACTTTATTAAAAAAAAAAAAAATAATTGAATGAGAATTTAAATTGAAAATGCTAAAATATCCCCTGTTTTTTTTCTGCTACATTTTCTAATGCTATGTTTTGAAAAATATCTTTGTTTATATAAAAAGCACAAGAATAAACTGTTTATGAAAATCTTCCTTGAAACAAACTGAATCAAAATAGATATGGTTTTAAAAAGCCTCAATATTGGAGTTTGGGATTCCATGCAGACAGTCTGATACCTTTTATTATAAAAGACATGAAGCATTGTCCGATATTATTAGTAATTTTTGACTAGAATTTACTTTCATTTTCCTTTTTTAATTACTTTTTGTTCACTTGACTCTGGCTATCAATCTCAGGAAGTGAGTAAAGAGTGCAGACCAGAAAGAAAAGATGAGATATGAACTCCTGCTACTAATATTAATGTAAAAACAAAACTGGGACAGGAAGGTTGATGAATGGAGTGATGGGCTCAAGGTTAGAATTCATCTTCTGAAAAGCCCTTAAAGCAGCTGAGTAAAAGCTGCAATAGTTACAGATTCCTATCAAATGAAATTGCTACCAAATTCAAGTCAAATACAAACATTACTCTCAATGGGTTTTTTTTTTTTTTTTAGGTTAAAATATTTCCATCCATAAGTTTATAAAAACCAAGTCCATGGTGGGGAGGGAGTTTGTTGTATACAAAGTATATATATATATATATAAAAGACAACAGGCATTCAATTCCTTAAACTAAAGAAAAGATATTTGATTGAAAAATGTTTGCTGTACTCACTTAGTTTGCTTGTAAATAGCATTCAAGATATTCATGGTGGCCAGAAGGATATCAGGTAGGCATTTACGGACCTAAATAGAAAATGAAACATACATGAGGCTCTCAATTCTTTTGAGGAGGGTGGGGGGTGTTAGAAATTGCCCAAAAAGGTGCCCTCCCCCAATTTAATTAAAAAAAAAGGAAGACAAGAGACAGCAGATTTTTTTTTTTTTTTCTGAACAACCATGGCTTACCTCGTCAGAAAAGTAATTAAAACTTGTAAGGCTGCTTTTGACGCGATCAACATTGAGAGGGATAACTTTCAAATTCTGAACAATCTGCATGAAAAGGAAAAAAAAAAAAATTTTCAGCATGAAATAAATCTTTAATCAGAGAAAGTGAATTGTGGCTATTATTTGGGGAGATATTTATTATTTCACTTAAAAGCAGGAGACATTTTATTGTCCTTAACAAAACAAATTGGGGGGGGAGGAGTGGGAATTACATAGCTACAATGCAATACGTGCAGAAGGAGACACTCCTTAAGTCAATATTTGACTGTAACAGACTACCAATATTTCCTTAATAATTCCCATTAAAATGTGAATACTATTTTGTTCATATTCTCTATGCTGTGAAATATTCTACTACCGCTGTACCATAATCGTTGTTACATTTATGTATACATTCCATGCACTAAATGTACCAACTATTATGGGACAGGTCATAACATAAGCGTAGGATTGTTTATTTGACTGAGAACAAGCAGTCTGCATAGAGGACAACTTGTGTGATGAGGCAAAAATAGAAAGAAATATAAGAGACAAGGATTAATTTTCTTAGATTTATTTAACTGACAAAAAAAAAAGAAAAAGAAAAAAAGAGCTACCAGAATTTATGATCAGTGGACATCATCTTAACAACAAGATACAAGGATGACAGACTCAGACAAGAACTCTTAGACAAGCTAGTAAGGAAAGAAAGAAGACCAACTATTTGGTCGGTTGTATTTGTTTAGCTGCATATCAGCCTCTATCGGTTATTTAATGCTGAATTTAAATATTTTGTACACATTTTATTTTTTGAAGATAACAGTTTAGTGATACGAGTCTTACTAATTAACCCATAGGTGGAGGGAGAAGAGGTGGATTCATACCTTTCCCATTTGTACATAAGTGAATATAATGAACCCAACTGGAATTGGAACTCAGCTCTCTGATTAACAATTCATAGCCATTATCCACCTGCACATTCAAGCTTACATCCCGTGGTATTCCCATCAAGATACTGACTAGCCTTGATGTTGTTTGTTTAATTTTGGTGATCATATGGGAGGCATTGTTTCAACATGATGCGGCCGTAATCCCAACTGTCATGTCATAGTGTATAATAATCGGTTATGGCAAAAGCTTATGGCTGTGTAAACACCGGAAAGAGAGGATTGGGTAGCTCCAGCCCAGATATGGCAGCAGTACTTCATTTTTTGTCAGATCTGGCTCTTGTAAAAAGACAGAGCATGGCAGGAGGAGTCAAGTAATTTGTGGATTTTGATTAATTTGTTTTTACGGCTTATCTAAAGTTATTTAAAGCCAGAAGATATTTATAAATTCTAAGGATATTTTGGAGATAACTAATTTACTAATACAAGTCCTATTATTTAACCCATAGCTGGGAGGAGAAGAGGTGGATTCATATCATTCCCAAGGCTATTTGTAAGTGAATATAACAAACCCAACAGGAATTGGAACTCAGCTCAAAGATTTCCAATTCCAATCCATTTTCCATCACTGCATTCATATATCCAAGCTTACAGCACCTGGTATTCTTAAGTCATCACCCATCTAGGTACTGATCAGGCTTGAAATTTTTTCATAGCATCCAGACGCAAAACTAGGACGGACTTACCTGTAAAGCACTGGAGATATCGCCATTGTGAAATTGATCAAAGAATGTCATTAGATCCAACATTAAGTAGAAAGTATTTGTGCTGTCTTGAGTGGCATCATGTCCCAATGATTGATATCTGTTGAGAAAATCGAGAAGTTGAAATTTGTTTATGGTTCATGCACGACAAACCTCCGTGTTACATGACCATTTGGTTGCAAACATATGAAACATTTCTTTAAAAAAAAAAAAAAAAAAAAAGAAAAAGAAAAAGCAGCCATTAATGTCTTGTAAATTTAACATTAATCTTTTATAAAATCTGTAAAGACATTAAACTTTGGCAAACTCAGATCTTCATGCTCACAAAAGAAAAGACATTTTTTCCCCTTAACACTGACATTATTTTAACTACCTTCACCTCTCAGTGATGTTTATTATTGTAATAAAATCTAAACCATGAAATTGAATTTATACATTTTCTTTGTTCTTGAGAATTAATAACAAAATTACTAAACACTATTTGATTGTTTATTTTAATGTTTATTGGCTAATTGTTAATTGATGGTAAAGATTTAATTACAGCTGGTTCACATATTTTAATTTAGTAAATGTTTATAAATTTATGAAAAAAATTGTTTTCACATTTATTTGGTAAATGATAAATATTGCATTGCATTAATTTTAATGGTATCAGTTTTTAGAATGTTGTAAATATAAAATTATTCTAAGTGTTTAATGTTTTTGTTGTAAATTCAAGAACAAAAAAAAATGTATAAATTCACTTTTTTTAAAACAAAGCATCGCTGAGGAGTAAAAGTAGTTAAAATAATAGCAGTGTCAAGGGAAAGGCTCTTTTTGATACTACATTTTTTGCAGATACTAAAAGTTTTATTTAGTATCTGTTCAGTTTTATCTTACAACTTCTGCCACTTTTATCCTTCTGTACCAAAATATTGCAAGGTGATACCTTTTTCATGATTTCCCATTTGATATATATTTTAAATTTGAATAATTTCTTTCTAAGTGGTGTATGACATGTTGTAAAAGTAAATCAAGGTCTTGAAGAAACTTTCCAAGATCCAGTCTTCTGGGTCCTTGTACTTTTGCCATTATAAGTCCAAGACAAATACACAGACATTACACATATGTAGAACATTAAAAAAGAAAAAGATTCTAAATTTTAGAAGCCCTAACAAAACAATCCAAAAGTAAATATCCTCTACATTAAAAGTGCTTTTTTAAATGTATTCAACAACTGATGGTACTATTACACTAATGTGCTTTTTTATTATCATGTTTCAACTGTTGTGCCTTCTTCAGGTGCCCATTTGTCTGACTGTAATTTAAATAATGATAACACCATATCCTAGACATTCTAACAGAAACCAATGATACATTTAACCATTGATGAAGTTTTTCACCCACTCAAGATATTAATCTTATATGAGCCAAATTATTATACAAAAAGGTTACATCATTGTAAATTTAGTTTCATGGAAGATGGAGAAATAAAATTTAACAAAAAACACTGGCAAAATCTACTTGCACCAATGTAGGAAAAAGGAGGAAATTGCATTAATGATCAAAGCAATTTCTATTAACATTATTTACATTACTTCGACTGATATCCTTATCTTTATTGTTATATTCACAATGTTTTGGCTGTTGTACACTGAGCTTTTTCAAGTGATGCTGGAATTTCGAATCAAACCCTTTATTTTATCCACTGGGGTAGATAAAAGTATTGGTTGAAGTAATCCAGTGACTTGACCCAAAGAGTTGTGAGTTCAATATCTGGGCACAGTAGAGGTGAACAAAAGACTTGGAGAATTGACTTACTAAAAAGAATTCAAAATGGAGATATTCAGAAAAGGCATGGTACGTGGAACTAGAACAATTTATCCCAGTGGACGAAATAAAGAGTTTGGTTTGAAATTCCAACGTATATCACCTGCAGAAGGCTGGCGCGTACAATGGCTGAAACATTGTGAATATGATAATAAAGATGAGGACAATAGTCTGAACAATGTAAACAGTTAAATGCCTCATCTCAGAAATATAGACAGATATTAAAGCAATTTCTGGTTAAAAAATAAACTAAATAAACCATTAACAAGCAACATTTATGCAATACATTTTCTGCTTATCAAAGGCTAAATTGAAAAGACAAGAGAATTTAAAAAATGATAAACACAGAAAACTTAGTGACAACACAAACTAGGTAATTGTAAATGAAAATATTTTGATAAAGAGTTTAAAAACATTTTTGATTGGGAAGAGTTGAAATGTGCTAATATTTTTAGATAGAAAATGAATGCAATTGAGCACAATTCTTAAAATACAATAAAATTTATTCAGAGTACGAAGATTAATTACGAATTTAACCAATAATTTGGTGTGCATTGTGTACATAAAGAATAACAGTACAAAATTAACTACTGACCGTTTGGCAATATCAAGTGCCATTGTTCGAAGCCTCTCTCTGTTTGACTGTGGAAGACTTGGTTGTGAGACGACTGAACTAAGAAGTTGATTAAGTAAACTTAAAACTTTTTCATGGGACTGAAATGAAATAAAAATCAGTTAATAAAATAAAATGCAATTCAAGTTGCTAATAAAAATATATCTGATTTTTTAAAAATACAAATTTCAAAACCTTAACTATAAGAAGAATTTGTAACTAACAAAATACAAAACCTTAAAGTAGACATTTTGTTTCAACCTCACCTCCCTCCCCTCATATAACCTGTTTTGAGAAATCCTTTTCAAAAGTTCAATCTGCTATTATTCATTTTTGGTAAGGACATTTTTGTTACTGTTTATTGCAACACACAAATCGTTTTCACAGAAATGTATTTCCTCAATTATCTGCCTTGGTTTGGTTCGTTTTACGGCTTATCAACTTCAATGGATTATTTAATGCCAACAAGATTTTTTATTGCTGGCAATATTTTCTCTTCAAAAATGTATTGCTGGCAATATTTTCTCTTCAAAAATGTATTGCTGGCAATATTTTCTCTTCAAAAATGTATTGCTGGCAATATTTTCTCTTCAAAAATGTATTGCTGGCAATATTTTCTCTTCAAAAATGTATTGCTGGCAATATTTTCTCTTCAAAATGTATTGCTGGCAATATTTTCTTCAAAATGTATTGCTGGCAATATTTTCTCTTCAAAAATGTATTGCTGGCAATATTTTCTTTCAAAAATGTATTGCTGGCAATATTTTCTCTTCAAAATTCAAAAAAATGTATTGCTGGCAATATTTTCTTCAAAAAATGTATTGCTGGCAATATTTTCTCTTCAAAAATGTATTGCTGGCAATATTTTCTCTTCAAAATGTATTGCTGGCAATATTTTCTCTTCAAAAATGTATTGTTGGCAATATTTTCTCTTCAAAATGTATTGTGGCAATATTTTCTTCAAAATGTATTGCTGGCAATATTTTCTTCAAAAATGTATTGCTGGCAATATTTTCTCTTCAAAAATGTATTGCTGGCAATATTTTCTCTTCAAAAATGTATTGCTGGCAATATTTTCTCTTCAAAAATGTATTGCTGGCAATATTTTCTCTTCAAAAATGTATTGCTGGCAATATTTTCTCTTCAAAAATGTATTGCTGGCAATACTTCAACATGGCCAATACCGTTAACATCCCCCTACTCTTCAACATTTTCCAAGACATAGTTACAAGTTCAACTTTGCTATGTGCTGAGCAGACAAAAAGACATTCCATTTCCCACTGAAGCATGGCTCCTATGTATCAAGCACATCTGAGAGTTGCATAAGCTATAATCTCTGGTGTGACCAAGTTGTAAAAATTCAGATGGATGTTCTTTGTATGAAACCAACAAGGAAATTAAAGAGAATTGAAGTGATTTTATAAAACGTTTTTGTCAAGCATTCAGTATGGTTTTCTAAATTTTCAAGACACTTGTTAAAGATGAAATATTAGAATGGGTTTAGTTCGAATAATTGAAAAATGTCCGGATGATTTCATTTTTTCTTGTCATTTTATGCCTGGGTACTTGAAATATTGTTCAAAAAAAAAAAAAAAAAAAAAAAAAATCATGAAGTAGATTTGAACTTATTTGAGCTTATACTTGAGAGTCACTCTGGCAAGGACAGCGCTTACAAATTAGGCTACAGAAACTGATCAGCAGATACTCTAATTTAATTATATAGCTACAGTCAAATCTTGAAAATAAATAAACTTTTTTTTTTTTTTTTTTTACACCATATATTTATGCAGTTGGAGGAAAAAGACACCTGGGCTGCAATAAAATGCAAAAACCCTCCATCCAAAAATTATGTATTAAAAACACAAAAAAAACACTGGTTAAAAATGCTTTGTTGAAGAAATTTGAACAATTTCATTAAATATATATTCCTTTTATTTTAATAGATTTTTACCATTTAGTTTTTTTTTAACAACATAAAAATATTTACTGGAAATTAAAGAAATGTTCATTTGGATGTGTCAACATATAATTTTAAGATATGCCATTAGAAATAATTCTGGTTAAGTTTTTAAGAGGAAACAAAATCAAACATCTTACATGTGCCAAATCATACAATTTCACAGCTTCTTCAAACAAACCCTTTTCTTCGGTGTTCTTTGCAACCAATTCAATTATTTTTTCACTGTTTGCTTGAAATTTGTCAATTGCTCCAGGCTAAAAGATACAAGAAAATTTATTTAAAACAAAACATGTATGTACTATCTATATAATTTTAAGTGCAAAATGGTCAACAACGTTGGCATTTAAAAGCATAATGAAAAAATTATGGTAATAGATAACAAAGCACAACTTCATTTAAATACTTAGTATAACAAGATACAGTTTTGTACCACTTGCACCCCTGAAGATGATCTTGGATAAAGATCGAAAGTACTTGGGAAATGAAAATAAAAGAAATTTAAACAGCTATAGCATATTTTTCTCATCCTTTAATATCAATACATGGAAGGTTATTTGTGAGTATGAATGGATTTTATTAAAAATTAGCAGACATAATGTCTGTAATTTAATAAGACATGTCTAAAAGAGAATTCGCTACCTAAATACACACACACACACACACACACACACATATATATTTACACTAGCAGCATGGCCTGGTGTTGCCCGTGCTGGATTCAAAAATCATACGACTCATACAGCAATCACTATCACTTGACTTAAAATATCAGCTTATGGCTCTCATGCTGGCCAATAGAATCTTCCTGCCTATTCGTGGCAGTCAGCTATAGGCTCTCACTCTGGCCAGTACAAAATGGCTGCAAACTACATGAAAACTGCCATAGAAGCATGAAAAAAAATCGATTATTTCCACTATCGACGGGAGTTGGGAAATGCAAAGTCAGTCTTGGCCTTCCCGCATGTGTATGTAAATTTTTGTGCAAATCCGTCGAAAATTGCGGCCGTGCATTCATTACATGCACACACACACAAACACACACATCCTGCCTTTTATAGATAGAGATATATAAAAGACAGGTTTTGTTAAATAATTTAGACATGTTCTGTCTACTTATTCTCGATAGGATCCTTTCATATTTATGGTGGATAAGCTTTTTTGTGTGGTTATTGAAAGACTAGAGGAAAACGCTGTGCTTGTATTTATTCTCCGAGTACTTTCGAAATAGCATAACGTCGTTATTAGGGTATAGTTAATTATAGACTAAGTATTGTGGTGTTCATGGTCGTAAAAGACAAAAATTTTCGTCATCACCTGAAAGTTAATTTTCTTATACATGAAGTAAGTCATGTTGTATCATCGCATGGCTAACAGGCACCGTTAAAGGGGAGGTAACTAGGTATGTTGTGGAAAGATTTTCTGACCCGAGTAGTCAAAAAATTAAAAGAAAGAACTATTAGTACAAACATCGACATTTAAAAACTATCTATTGTACATATTTTAAAATATTTGTGGAGGCTTCAAGAATTTTTAGCTTGTGTTTATTCTTTCTGTGGAAAAATATAGAGGTATTTTTGACAAGGATTTTCCTGAATTGCATATATATATATATATATATATATATATATATATATATATATATATGTATGTATGTATTTTTCATTAAAAATGACAGACAAGGTACTATGGTTAAGTTTCTTTATTTAATTTTTCTTGTGTTCGAACAAGAGCTTTCTTTTCTGGACAAAGAGTGTATAAAAACTGTCCGAATAAAATAACATTTGGACAGTTTCTACAAACTTTTTGTCTAGAAAAACTCTTGTTTGAACACAAGAAAAATTAAATTTTAATGAAACATGCATAAACGAAGTATTGCTGCCCAAATATACTACTATATATATATATATATGTATTTTTTTTCTTTTTTTAACATACAATGTGTTAGCACGTGTGATACCCTGTCTTCATCAGCTGCTGACCAGGGGTGATATCACGGTTTCGGTGGCTATGGCAGGACCGCCACCAGACAGGGTATGAAGATAAGTTAAATGATCGTTCCCCTTTGTAAATTCTCATAATGAAATAAACAAAACAATTATTCCTCTTTGCACCTTCTATCCGTAATGGAAATTTGATATTTCTTGAATGCATTAGCAAAAGCACTAAAATTTTATATATTAGTGCTTTTGACCAGAATTTTTCTTAATGGTTCTTGTAAATTGTGGATAGATAGAGATTTTTTTTTTTTAAAAAAAATAACACTTTGATCTGATAAGTGGTACATGAGGCGTCTACTCAAGTCAGTGGTAGTATGTCCGATACAGGTAACTGATTTTTGACAAGAAACAGTCAGTAAAATTGATACACTACACTTCACTGCCCAGTACAACCATTAAGAAAAATTCTGGTTAAAAATACTAAAATTCTATATAAATCATATTGCTAGAAACATCTTGCTATAAGGGAGGCACTCTATATTAAACATCTCTTTCCCACTACCAACTTCATCTTATTTAACAGCGGGAATGGAGTCTTGAAAGTTTTTTTTAAAAAAACAGAAAGATGCTTACTGAAATCCCAGATGTGTTCAATATGCAAAGGCTTGGAATAACGCTCCTACTTGTATGCAAAACAACAACAAAATAAAATAATCTTTAACAATAACATGAGAAATTAACAAACCCCTTTGAACATGGCTAAAGAAGTGGTCAAAAGTGCTTGGGACAATAGTTGCACTCCCTTGCTCCTACCAAGCAGAAAAATCGAAGAATGATGCATTTTCTTGTTTATGTCCAACACATCCTGAATATTAACGCAAACAAATAACATTGCATTTACCTCTGAATCATTATGGAGTTTTAGTTATCAAGTTTAACTTAAAATTCTATTTCTATGATAACATGAGAAATGTCCAGTACAGAGAAATGGGTTCACATGTACATTGAGCATTATTCTGGTGACTGAGAAAACACACACACGTGTGTGTGTGTGTACCCCTGGATACATTAGGGAAGAAGAGGACTATATTGAGAACACATTCAAACTTCTATACTACCGATACCATTTCATCTTAAATGCAAAAAAAAAAAAGGGGTAGAATTTCCGACTGATGTCAATTCAGTGGGGTTTTGATCTTAGCTAGAGGCAACTGGATGTTGAGACACACTGATGAACTGTGATACAGTGAAACAGTCAGTGGATGACCAATATATATATATATATATATATATATATATATATATGAGAGAGATAGATAGAGCGAGCATATCTTCATTCAAGCAAGTTTCGTTGAATAATCAGGACATATTTTAATTTAAAAAAAAAAAAAAAAAAAAAAAAAAAAAAAAGAACATCAATATGGCACTTGGTGTGAAAGCTGGGGTTTCATGTGATAAGTATCAACACCAAAAATTAGACTCATAGCTTTTAGCAATTTTCTAAGCATTTAGTTTCAAAGATCGTCTCAAACAATGTACAGAAATACCTAATTTCCACAGGTTTTTACTTACAAATTGATTTCAAAATTTTACAATTTCAATAATAAATCCAAATCATGTTAATATCTTTTGTATTAGAGACATTAAATGGAAAATATATTCAAACCAGAATTCTAGTTATGAATCACCACAAGCAAAATATGCTACTTTTTTTTTTTTTTTTTTTTTTTTTACTGTATTTGATAAGTAAAAACCACCTAAAAAAAAAATATTGTAAAAGATTACAAAAAAGCGCTACTCAATGAATAAGATTTGTTAGATCATAAATAATAAAAACAAATAGACAAAATACCATAATAAAAATATGATGTATAAAACATCATAATTCTTCTGGGCACAAATTATAAGACAAATGTTTTAAATTTGCATTGTTTATTGAAAATCACAACTAAAACTACTGCAATGTATAAATATATTACATCATAATATTGTTAAATTGTTCAGTATAATTTCCCTTTGAAGTAAATAAAGGTCTTATTTGATAGCACGATTTAGTAATAATGTGCTTGTGCCATGCATCTTGTCTATATACAATTTGTAAATCTTCAGTAAATTATAAATTTTATAAGGCTTTTTGCTGATTGCCAATTAAATTTCAACGCCATGAGTTTTAACCTAAATGTTATCGTTTAAACTTGTTTCCTCAAAAAACTGTAATGATTTGTAAAAAAAATATTTAGTGTCATTATTTACGATATCAGACTCCCAACTTTCAAATTGAGTGCAAATACTACATTTCCAAAACTGACCTACCCTATTGACTATGCTCGATGTTGCTTCACTTTGGTGATTGTATGGGGAACTGGTGTATCAACATGTTGCGGCCATTGATAAGGAAAATCTTTTTTAGAAAGTGCAAAGGGAGACAACTGCCAAGGAATTTTAATTCAAAGTGACTTTGTGCAACTTAAATTTACATTGACTTTGTATTTTGTCACAAATCATCTAAATGTTACCCATTAGTAGAATTACTTACACGACGCATTCCATTTTGGTCCAGCTTGCCGAGCATCATTTCAAACTGCGAAAGAAAAAAAAAAGGGGGGGCGTTAAATGGCATTTTATACATACAGCATATAAAGCGGATTTTCGAAAAAAATTATTTTTTTATTTAGAGTAAAAGTTTTTGGCCAATATTTAATCTTTAACCCCCACCAAACGGTGGGTCAAAAGAACGGTTTTTCCCTTGACACCACTATTATTTTAGCTACCTTCACACCTTGGCAATGTTTATTGCTTCAAAAAGCGAGGATTAGAATTGTAATAAAAACTAAACATGATGAAAGTGAATTTATACATTTTACTTACAAGAAAAATTTTATATTTACAACATTCTAAATACTAATACAATTGTATTAAAACTAATAAACATTGCCAAGGAACAAAGAGAGTTAAGATAATGGTGGTGTCAATAGAAAAAACAACCCCCCCAAAAAAAAAAAAAAAAAAAAAAAACCTATTTTTTTTTTTGCCAGCAAAAAGTTAAATATTGTCAGTTTTAAAAAAAAAAAATCGTATAAAAGACAAACTGAAAGCAAACACATGATCTGGATAAGATGACTTTTTAAAAAAATTATTTTTTTTATTTTTCACGATTCAAAATTGAGAAAATGTCAGAAAGTAATCAAAGCATAAATTAGGATGAAAAAAAAAAAAAATTGTTGCGATTACTAAAAAAATATGATGCACATAAATATGACAGACTCAGTATCTGTTTATATTTCTGAGATGAGGTATTAGGTACACTATTTATATTATTTGGACTATTGTCCTCATCTTTGTCGCCATATTTATTACGTTTCAGCCTTTCAGTATCTGTCTATATTTCTGAGATGAGGTATTATGTACACTATATTATTTGGACTATTGTCACCATATTTATTACGTTTCGGCCGATGTTTGCTCAGTTTGTGCACCACAGCTATGCTCACGACGTATGCCCAGCCATGACACTGGCATGCTGTGGTCCGCTTGCCATCCAGCTGTCAATTGGATGGAGGTAGCTGAGTGGCAGGTGTGCAGCTGGTGGACACCTAGTCCTGGTCGGTAGATGATCATGAACTTTTCTGTTAATCTTTGTTCTCACCTGCTGAAAACACCAGCAGCCAGGTGCCAGGCAGGGTTGGCGTTATTCCCCTGTGCCAAACGGAAGCAAGGACCTTGTGTTGCCAGTCAACAGACCGAGATGCCTCTGTCAATAGTTCTTTTACTTGGTATGCGCGCTCATTATTTTTCAAACAATTTCCCCCAGAGCACGATTATCTTGTTCCATGTTTATTAAATGTGTATTAAAATTTTTCACATTCTGGCCTCATGCATTCCAATCAAGTTTGATCTTCAAAAATTTAAATGCAATGTCCATAGTTATCTCTTCTCTTAATTCCTGTTCGTCTTTAATATTTCCTTTTTCTCTTATTCTTTCAAACTCAGCAACCCCTTCGTATATTAATGGCTTTATTGCCTTGTTTGGGGTGAAATGATAAAAAAAAAAACAAAAAAAACACTCTCTCTCATTATATATATATATATATATATATATATATATATATATGTGTGTGTGTGTGTGTGTGTGTGTTCACCACTAGATTGGCAGTTAGGTCTCATCATTATACAGTTGAAATGGCTAGATCTAACTGCAAGTTCTATGCTGACAATTTCTTCTCTTGCATTTCTTGCTTGTGGAACTCTTCCAGCTTCTTGATTTACAATCAATTTTGATCTTCAAAAATTTGAATGCAATTTTAATCGTTACCTTTGTCTCCTTAATTCCTGTTTTTTTATTGTCCTCCATCTTTAATATTTTTTTCTCAGATTCTTTCACACTCAGTAACCCTTTGCATCTTAGCAACTTTATCGCTTTGCTTGAGGGAAGATTATATATAAAAAAATGATAAAAAAAATTTATTTTATAAAATGAAAAATTCCCAAAATGAAAGCAGAGAGATGTGTTTCAATACTCCTATTGTTAATTATTATCATTTAAATATCAGAGAAATGTGTACTGAACATCATGAATATGTCCTCAATCACCCTTCAGGACATAAATGATCATGGATCTCCACAACTTATTTTTCCTTTAATATTTGTAAACTGTGCATGGTTCTGATTGTTTCTGGGAAAGATAATGGAGAGGTTTTCTGTTGCTTTTTCCACAGTTTTGAATTCAAAGTGATCATCCTTCTAGACTGGTTGCCAACCAAGGCTAGAGAGGCCAATCTTCCCTGCCAGTTTACACGTAACTGGTGTAAAAGAAAACGAGAATAAACACCTTTGTCTACATCTCTCAAAGCATCATTTTTGCCTGTACTAGAAGAAAACCTCTGTGAGGAGTTACACTTTATTAAGTATCAGTTATTTATCATGTACAAGTAACATTTTGAAGCGAGTTGGCTGAATAAGATCTTACCTCTTTCGTCTCCAATACAAGTTCTGTGACACAAGACATGAAAAGGTTTTCTCCAGAGGAAGATTTTAAGTCTCTGAATTAAAAAATGGATAATAAAAAATAAAAAAAATCATTTAAAAAAGAAAAATAAATTAGAAAAAATACTGAGGTGCATCTTAAGACACACCCAGAATCCAATGCTGTCAACATGTTGTTTATCGAAAGTGGTACTGGCTGCTTGATCAATGAATGCTAAATGTTTTTCCTTGTAGGGGTAAACAACTAATATTAGCATTATTGAATCAGCCTAGTTTTCAATTCATGCAATTGTAATGCTACAAATAGAAAAATGGATTCGGCAATCAATCCATCTCAACAACTTTCTGAGGGATTTATCTTTACAGCAATGATTCCCAACATGGTGCACATGCTCCACCGGTGGGCCATGATAATATTTTGGTGGGGGCATGTATAGGATGTGCCCCCTATTGGCTTACTATACCAACAGAATAAAGGAGCAATTCAAGAATGAGTTATTAACAGTGAATTGTTTTCTAGTCAGCTCAAATTTCATTTTGCATTATTATTTCATGATTAAAATGATCAAAGTATATTACAGAATAAACTTTCATTCAAATATTTTATATTTTTGCCTTTCAGTTCTCTATTATGATTTGAAACTATTTTTATTTAACTGTCTTTTTGTTTTTTTTTAATTTTTCTCTTTTATGGATGCCATGGTCTTTGGAGGTTTGTTTAGAGACCAACTTAATGGACTTTTAAGCTTCCTTCATGTGAATGGCAGTAAAATTTTCAATATGTTAACACGGGGGTGGGGGGCTGGTGACCAGAATTTTAGAAATACTAAAATGGGTGATGTCCCAAAATCAGTTGGGAACCACTGATCTAATGAACAGTAACCAGAAATATTTAAAATAGATCTAAAATATGATAATTAAATATTATTATGGCACCAGAATTTTAGAAAAACCAAAGTGGGGCATGGCCCCAAATCGGTTGGGAACCACTGATTTACAGTAAAACCCCGAGGAATTTTCAATTTAAAAATAGGAGTCCATGCAGTTTGTGAAAATGTGAATTTTGATAAGAAGTTTAAAATTTATTGAATATCAAGACAAAAACAGAAAAGGCATAAAACCAAAAAACCAAAAAAAAAAAAAACACATGCAAATATGATATGGACGAAAAAAAAAAAAAAAAAAAAAAAAAAAAAAGTAAAAGAAATAGAGAACAAAAAAAAAAAGTTTGTTCTAAACAACAAAAAAAGATTAAAAATCTAATTATCCCATTATTCATTGAATTTGGCATGGGCAATCTTTTCAGATATGGCTCATCATAAGGCAGGCTGCACTATTGAAAAATATTCAAGATAATTTTTTGTTGAAGCTGTCTCAGCCATTTTCATCACAGACGACCATATACATAAGGAATGGTGAAAGGTTGATTGTTTTCTCAATAATTAAAAAAATGAAGTCTCAGTATAATTTTATCACAGATGACAGTGGTTAACACACACATGATTTGTTTCTTATTCATTTGAAAATACAAAAAATAATTTTTAAATTAAAAAATATATTTCTTCTTTAGAGAAAAAAATATGTTCCTTCTCCAGACAAAAAAATTATTTTGAACACCCTGTTTCTAAAGCAAGATATTTACATACATGGTCTTCCTTAGTGAAAAATCACCAATTGTTTAAAATGATGAAAACTTTACCTTCAACAAAAAGTTAAAAAATTCAAGAAACATTGTGCTTAATCATTGTTTATGAACATGGTTATGTTTGAGAAAATGTGTGTGAACAAGTGAGGACGAAATGAAATCAGCAAAATTTTAATAAACCTTATTTTTCTCATGGAATTTGGTGTGCCTTTCAGAAAGCAAAACAGATTACATGTGGTCCACGGGCTGCTCTTTGCCCATAACTGCATTAGATTATCACTGAAGTATACTGAATTCCTTGATTTTAATTTAAGGCGACTGCATTACCAGCAGTGCCCATCTCCTCTCTAACAGGTTATATGGAGTTATATGGTACCAGCAAAAAGGAGTGACTCTTGATCTGACAAGCCAGAATATACACAGGGTTCTAAATGATAAATTGATGCTTTGCAAACTATTAGCCTTAAAGCAGAAGGGTTGAAGTACATATCAAGATTGACGTGTTTTAAATGGTGATGAACAGAGAAATGACTGACCTTAAGAAGAAAAAATATTGCAAGGCTTCCCTGGGGTCAGTTGCTTCAAATTTGCGGGTGTACATCATAATGAGTCGGGCAAAGTTCAGTCGACACTGTGGAGTGGGGTCAGCAGGATCGCGGGTCACTGAAAAGACATGCAAAAAATGTTGTCAGGAAATAGCTGCTCCCTTTTTAATTCGACACCAATTAGGACCACATTTCAACAGGCCTATCGTAGCCACATTGGTTTCTTGAGTTACAGGTAAAAATTTTAAAAACATATTTGATTTTAGTCAGCTTCTTATTGAAAATATTAAAGCTACAAAAAGTCAGCAAATGTCAGTGGAGTAAATTACATTTACTTTCATTTATTCTTCTCTTGTTTATATTTTATATCTTTTTCTAAAAGGATAAAATCTATGAAGAGCAAGAATATAATATAAAAGGCCAGAAACACTAATATTCCATGGTTATAATTTATTACATTGGAATCGTAATCATGATTCAAATCATCAGACCTACGGTGATGAATTGGATCGTGATTATGATTCCAATGTAATAAATTATAACCATGGAATATTAGTGTTTCTGGCCTTTTATAGTTTTTATTTATATATAGATAATGTTAGTGTTCAATATATATATATTATTACACACACACATAAATTCTGAAGAGGATAGAAGCCAGGTAGAACTCAATGTCCAGGACAGAATAAAAAATATAATATAAAAGGCCAGAAACACTAATATTCCATGGTTATAATTTATTACATTGGAATTGTAATCATGATTCAAATCATCAGACCTATGATGATGAATTGGATCGTGATTATGATTCCAATGTAATAAATTATAACCATGGAATATTAGTGTTTCTGGCCTTTTATAGTTTTTATTTATATATAGATAATGTTAGTGTTCTCTCTCTCTCTCTCTCTATATATATATATATATATATATATATATATATATATTATACACACACACACACACAAATTCTGAAGAGGATAGAAGCCAGGTAGAACTCAATGTCCAGGACAGAGTAAAAAATATAACATAAGGCTCAAACACTAATATTCAATGGTTATAATTTATTACATTGGAATTCCCACTCCCACACATACACTCTCATTAAAATTTTGTTTTTTTTATACCTGGAGTTATATTTTCTGATTTCTTTTTGAATTTGTAGGTCTGATGAATTGGATCGTGATTACTATTCCAATGAAATAAATTATAATCATGGAATATTAGTGTTTGAGCCTTTTACAGTTTATATATATATTTAAAAACATTCTTGGTGGTACAGAGCTTGAGTATTGCTGTAAAGACATTTAGCTGAATATTACTTGGCATAATTAAAAACCAAAAAAAATTGAAAGAGGAAAACAACCGGTTTTGCTCCTGCTCTTCACTGTTTTCAATCAGGAGTAAAAATGGTAGAATACAATAAATTCTTAAATTTGCGAATGATTGATGAGAGGACAAAAAAAAAAAAAAAAAAAAAAAAGAGAGGGAGGGAGGGGGTAAAGTACCAGAGACTAATTATAGCAATCCCCAGCAAACGATCATGCTGTTTACAGAGAGAATGTTTGTGAGACTTGATATACATTGACTAGTACTTTTAGGTGAAATAAAGAGTGTGACTGGGACAAAACAGTAAACAATAAATTTAGCCTTATGAATAGCCGAGAAGATCAACCTGGTATTGAATACAACATGAACCACACTGGAAAAATAATACTCACGGAACTGGAAGAAATTTGCCTGGAGAGGCCTCACATTCAGCTCCAATCCAAGGAAGTCGCAATTAAACAGGGCACCTTTCTACTATATATATATATATATATATATATATATATATATATATACACACACACAGACACACAATTATAGGATTGGAATAAAATCCAATAACCAAAATACTATTCTTAAAAGAGTGCTCAATACAGAGTAGAGCAAATATAATTTATTCAAAATTATAACATAAACATGTTATAAAATCACTACAAAAATAGCCATTTTGTTGCAACACTTCTGGCGTTTTATCAAGTGATGGTGTTGTGGAACAAAATGGTTATTTTTGTAGTGATTTTATAACATGTTATAATTTTTGAAAATATATATATATATATATATATATATATATATATATATATATATATATATATTACACACACAAAGAGGGTGTACCAAAAATACTTTCACAAACTTTGTGAGCAGGTTCCCGATATTAGAACAAAGTAAAACGTCTATATAAACATATGGACAAAAGGCCATTGTTGTACCTCAACACAGTAAATTATAATAAGTTTTCAAAATTGTCCTCTACTTACTTCTATGCATGCACCTGTCGGATCATTAATTGGCAGACCTTTTCAAAAACTCCCACACAGTGATGAATGGTTTCACAGGCCCCGTGACATGTTGATGAAGCATTATTAATGTCTGCTGTATAAAGCAAATTATTTTATGTGACCCCACAGATAAAAATCCAAACAACTGAAGTCAACAGAACATGCAGGCCATGAAACTGATCCTTCCCTACCTATCCACCTTTCATGGTAAATTTTAGCTAGTGCATTGCAAACAGTGTGACTAAAATATGCTGGAGGCCCCATCATGCATGAACCACATGTGTCTTCATATTAGCAGGGGTACATCCTCTAGCAGGTCTGAAAGTGTGTTCAAAATAAAGTCCCTGTAAGATGTGCTGGGAGAATATATGTCCCTACCAGTCACCCACAATTCCAGTGCACACAATCATAAACTGATGCTGATGTCTAGCCTGTATTAAGCCATGGGGATTCCAATCCGCCCATAAATATTGGTTGTGTAAATTTGTTATTCCATCTCTTCCAAATGTTGTCTCATCCGTAAACAAGACTCAAGAGAGAAACAATGGATCAGCAGTTTGTGCAATAAACCATCGACAAAAGTTCTCCCATGGTGAGTGATTAGAGAGTGAAAGAACCTGCACATGTTGCAAATGATATGGATACAAATGCTCTTGAAGTACACTCTATGAGACGTACGACATGCTAAGGCCACTTGACGTGTGCAGATACCTGGATCATCTCCGGCAGTCCGTAGAATGCATTCTTTAAGGTCAGGCATACAAAGCAGATCACTGTCTTCCTATATCCATAGCTTGTGATGCCATGGATCCTGTTTGAGAAACGCAACAATAAACAGCAGTAAACGTTGGATGACTCGGCTGCCATCTATCTGGAAATGCAATATGATACAGTCATGCAGCCTTGCGTCCATTACCATTCCCTCGACTGTATGTAAAAAATCATATCTGCTTGCTCATGATATGAATATACTGTCATTGTTAAACAGAACACTTCTCAGTTAACTTACTACTACATACGTTAAATGTTGAAGGAAGACTAGACACAAATGTACACGAATGACAAATGTAACCCAGTCTACATGGCAACATAGTACCATCTACTGTAAACTTTCTTTAAACTTAATAATTCAAAAACAAAGGATTTGTAGACATTTGTCCTTGTTTTGGTGTGAGGAACCTGTCCCCAAAGTTTCTAAAAGTATTTTTGATACATCCTCTGTGTGTGTGTGTGTGTCACCCAAAATATTGACACCATTTTGTAGTCTAATAACATAGCCAATTCTCACTCAAATTTTAAGAAAATGTGTAAAAAATAAATTGACTGCAGATTTCTCAATGATGTGCCAGTGATAACGACAATGTGTTGTTGAAATGGCCACCACATTCACTTGACACCTTGTGAATTTTTTTTTATGGGTTTATGTGAAAGGACAGGTCTATATCCCTCCTCTTCCTACAAGCCTCCTTCAGAAGAGAATCATTGAGGTGCTGCAGAATGTTGCACAAGTCATGTTATGACCTGATTGGCTGGACTACCAATTTGATGTATGTTGTGTCACAGGTGCTGTGGATATTGAAACTTTGTGAAATCAGTTATAAAATCTCCATCCTTTTGAATATCTTGTTTAAAGTTTGATAAATAAATCTTTTATTGTTTGACATGAAGCCTATTTAATTTCATTTGCTTGGAACATATAGTTATCCAGATATTCACATTTTAAATTACGTCAATTTTGTGGGGACAGCATATATATATATATATATATATATATATATATATAAAAGAAATATGTTGTAGTGGTTCCAACGAGAGAAAAGTATGTATATTAAAAAGAAGAGGGGTGCCGCAAACGTTTTTGGTTGTAATGTGGATTTATTGAGAAAAAATATACTTTGTTTTACATAATTTCACGACACGTGTTTCTGGTCTGGTCTCGCAACCGTCTTCAGGTGAAAGTGGAGATTTTTACATATTAAAAATAATTAATTTTTCTTCATGTTCAATGTGGAATATTCTCGATATGAGACATTCTGTTTGTGTGTTGGCAATCCGAATTTTCTTTCTAGAATTGTCAATTGACACATACATACACACACACGTGTACACATACACACACACACACGTGTACACATACATATATACACACGTGTACACATACATATATACACACACACACACGTGTACACATACATATATACACACACACACACGTGTACACATACATATATACACACACACACACACACACACATACACATATATACACACACACACACGTGTACACATACATATATACACACACACACACGTGTACACATACATATATACACACACACGTGTACACATACATATATACACACACACGTGTACACATACATATATACACACACACACACACGTGTACACATACATATATACACACACACACACGTGTACACATACATATATACACACACACACACGTGTACATATATACACACACACACACACATACATATACATACACACACACACGTGTACACATACATATACACACACACACGTGTACACATACATATATATATATATATATATATATATATATATATATATATATGCACACGCACACACACACACATTAACAGCAATTTTTAATGGATCCTCATATTTGAGTAGACACTCAGTTTATTTATTATAATATTTAATAAATAAAAACATCATCTACTGTAAATACAAGTATCCATTAAAAATACAAAATTTTGTAGAAAATATGAATTCTCTGACAGGAATTGAACCTGTATCCTATGAAGAATCACCATTAAGCCTAGTGCACTATAACTGTTCAGCCACAGAGAACTTCTGGTTAAGCAAAGCTTAAAGTAATGCATTGAAACACAGACTTGCGGCGATTTTTCTCAATCTTTCTATTCTGCTGGTGAATGCATATTTTCTACAAAATTTCTCCAACATTCAAGCCAGTAAATGCAATTAATACTGTTTATATATATATATATATATATATATATATATATATATATATATACACACACCACAAACTGACAATTGTAAGATGTACATATGTAAAGTGGTTTACACACACACACACACACACACAAAATAGATGGCTGTATCATGATTTTAAGTAATGTGATTGCTTGACTTATCTTCAAATATGAGCAGATGTGGCTTTTTTAATTCTGTTATGGTGTCACATTCTCTTGCCCTGGTAATATTTGGCACCCTCTTATAGTAGGTGTTACACTAATATTTTGGTGAATTTTCATATGACACACGCACACCACAAACTGACAAAATGATGCATTATACTTGAAACAACCTGACATGCCCATCCACCAATCATGAAAAATCTATCCAGATTCTCTGTGGGGGTATGCAATGTTGCATACCCCCACAGAGAACCTCATGAAAGCTGAAAGCACCTAGAAAACGTTAGACAATTCATGTTCAAACTACTATTGGAAACTAAAGAAATGATCTGAACTGGAGAGAGAAAAAAAAAATGTCTTAAAAGAACTTTTTTGGTCTACCAGCCAAACTAGCATAAATGAGAAAGAAATGCCTCCTCCTCCTCAACTAAAGGCAATAAAGCCGCAAGAGAAAAGGGGTTCACTAAATGCTTCTACTTACGTAAGGTGGCTTGAGTGGAAGATGGCAACAGCAGTAATTTGAGTTCATAAAGCACAAGTCCCAAATGCACTGCATGGCATCGGAGGACGTCAATTCTGGACAGGAATTCCAAGGCTGCTTCAAATTGAGCCGTGAGGAACAAGACTTGAAAGTAGAGGTAAGGCTGTTGGTAGGCACTGAAGTGACTCTCACCTGCAAAAGAATTCAAAACAAAAATGATATTGACATTACATTAAATAGTAATAGCTTTGTGTGTTCCATTTGAGGAGATCTATTAACAACTCTGTGGTAGACAGATTGTTCATTCTGGATATGTTGAGAGCAAAAGAAATAAAAATAAAATGGAAAATGACCAAAAGTCTTAGCCCACAAGGACCAAATATGTTCCCAAGTCAAAACCCCAAGGCCAAATGCACTTAAATTAAAATCCAATGTTCAAAAATGTCCCTGTCAAAATCCATGCTCCAAACCCGCCGTCAAAATCAAAGCTCCAAACACACTGCCAAAGTCAGAATCCAAGGACCAAACACACCTTACAGTGACAACATACTTTTTAAACCAAATATATAATAATAATAATAATAATATATAAACCAGAGCCTAACAAGATTCTTCAAGTCTTGTGAGGTACCCCAAAAAACCCACTCGATGGTACAATAGATTTGGCACCGCGGAAGTGTTGGAAAATGTCAGAGGTAGAGAAAAAGCACCCACACCAAGAACAAAATCATTTCACATATACATATCCGTTTATATATCGTGCAGTAATGTTAGGTTTGAGACCCTAATGAACCACATACCTGTCCACACTTGTTCTAATATGGTGCTGTAACATCAGGATCTTACACCTGTTACCTGGTCAGCCAGGATCGTTTATACTACTCTTTCAAACAGCTGGTCTTTCCATCTCTTGGCATCATAAATATCATGGAATAGCCTGCCATTCATTGGAACAGCAAAGACACTGCCACTAATACAATGATTTTATAGAGAATAAAAACAGATGGCTCTCTCTCTCTCTCTATATGTGTGTGTGTGTGTGTGTGTGTATATATTGTCATGTCTTAACGCAGCCCAAAATCCATAACACACACACATAGAGACCCATCCTTTTAATAATATAATATGTGAAATCCCCCTCTCTTGTTAAGTATATAATAGTAATTGCTGGCTACAAAAACAATTAGGTCAAACAGACTGAACCCCAGCAACAGGTCTGAGCAGAAGCTAAAAATAGATTCTCACACACATGTAGAATCATGTGACCAAATACGAATGTTAAGCGGGATAGAACGAACTGAAGAGAACAAATGTTCCAAACTCAAACTCCGAGCATAAAATCATGAGGAAACGAGTCTTGTGTGAATAATACCTTCTTTTTCATTTGTTAAAGCAAGAGAGATCACATGATAAAAGACAAATTTGAATTCAACTCAATATATTATACTGCTTACATCAACTGTATAGGTGAATTGTGTAACATGGCAATCACTAAAGGCAAGCGCACTCAATTAGATGAAGGATCTGAAAAAATGAATTCTGCATTGCTGAATATACAACTTATACAGCACCAAATCTTATTATAAATAATGAATTTTACATTGAAGAAGAATAGATCAAAAGACACTGTTGTTTGAGTGAAACAAAATGATCTGAAAGTAAAAAAGCCAAAGAGAAACACAAGAGAAAGAAAGAAAAGAGAAAATCTTATTTCAGAAGAAAAACTGAAGCTAAGTTTTCGTTTCAACTTTTAAACTCAGAATATAATACAGACATCTCTGCATGCATTCTCTTGCCTAAATGTTTTTATGTATTGTCTACTTGTAATTAAATCTTGTTTTTGTTACTGTTGGTTGTCGTACCGACTTCGAGCATTTGACCCCGTGGAGAATCTGCCCACTATAGAGTGGTAAACCCAGCATCTTTTGAACAGCGAGTTGTTTTTTTTTTCTATCTTTCTTTTTAAACTTTATGGTGCGTAATTGTCCGTTATATATATATATATATATATATATATATATATATATATGTGTGTGTGTGTGATTAATACAAATATAACATTTCTTACTTAGACGATTGATGTTGTTGTCAGCATCCTGACTCTATAGTGAGAGTGTGAGTGTGTGTGTGTATATATATATATATATATATATTCCTTAATAGTAAAGCAGACTGGGTTCTCTAACTGTAGTTGGCAATCAGCCATGGATAAAGATAATTCTAAATTCAAAACTGCTGAGAAGGCAATTGGGGGGGGGGGAATGGGGTCACCACTAAACTATATTTCCCAAAAATAATCACGGCACTCTGCAGACATTGTCGCTTACACCCTGAAGAGATAATGCAACCCACTATTGCTGTTGGTGAAATAATTCTGCATATTTTATCTTCGCTTGCTACGCCCACTTTACAGAGAAAAACCCACCACCACCACCACCAACAAAAAATCTGCTTTGTTTTGTGCATGGCAAAAGTATTAACCTTATAAGCCCCATTGTTCCACTAGTGGAACATATTTTAAGACATTAAGACAAACACGCATTAATTTGAATGACGTTATTTTTTGTTAATCAATAATTTACATGGCAAAGATTAAAATACCATATTTGTTTATATATTGTGTTAAAATAACATTTATGACTTTTTCCATTTATACTGATTTTCATCCAATTTAACTATTGTAGTGCAAACATTAACATGATTGGCCGAATGTATGGGTGTCTATTATGTTGTTGTCAGCACCTGCTTGCATCTGATCATTGAGATCATCATCCTCTCTATTCCATCTCCCCCCCATATGGTGGAGATGGTTGTTAATCAAAGAGAGTTTGATGAGGCCATTTGTGTGTATTTGATTTTGGTGGACAGTTCTGCATGATGGAGAAGCCCACACAGGTAAGGTCTGGCAAACCTGGTTGCATATATATAGATTTTAATTAATGTCTAATATTTCAGTAATGTTTTAATGACCATTGTTCCATGAGTGGAACAAATTTTAAGACCCGTTTTTTTTTTTTTATAGCATATGGGCATTAATTTTTATTATTTTATTGATAATTTACATGAAAGTGACTAAAATATAATATATGCTTACATTTCGTATTAAAATACTTTTACCTTTTTTTTTCAATCATTTCATCCCAAGCAAGACAATAAAGCCACAAGGTGTTACTGAGTGTGAGAGAATATAAGGATCTGCACCCTCCCAACCGCAAAAAAAACAACAAAAAAAAAACAAAAAAACCCACAACATCACTATTACGGAGAGAGAATAAAAGAAAAGGAAATAAAGAAGACAACAATAGACATTGCATCAAAAGTTGACTGGGAAGCAAGATGTTGGAAAAGTTCCACAAGCGAGAAGTGCGATAGAAGAAACTGTTAGCATAGAACTTACGGTTGCATCTAGCCATTTCAATTGTAAAATGATGAGAACTTATTGGTTTGGGTTTCGTTTTGTTTTAAGGCATATGAAACCTTAATGGGTTATTTAATGCTGACAAATTTTTTTTATTGCTGGTAATATTTATTTATTTTTTTTTTTAAAAATGTATTGCTGGTAAAATTTTTTCTAAAAACATATTGCTGGTATCCATAGTGTTTTGACCTCTTTTGGGGATTAGCTATTTGTCCATAGCTGGGACCCTGACGGGTGCTGCCACCACGCTCCTCAAAAGCTTCTGATCAAAGGCCTTCCTGTTGGATGTAGTTTATCATCTTACCCAGGATGGTGAGAAATAAGTTACCAATCTAGTATTGCACTTAAATTCATAAAGTCTTGGTACCATAGTGAAGAGCTTATCAGAGCAATTACCATGAAAGTATTTATACAAAAAACACAGGGAAGCTACATTATGGCAGTCAGAAAGTGACTGAAGCTGAGATACCAGATCAGGACCAATAATATTGCAGATTCTTTGTATTTTATCAAGAATCTCTAAATACATAGCAAAAGCACCAGACCATGTGCTAATATTTTACTAAATATTTATCTATTAATATTTAGGACTTATTATAGTCATTTTTGTCAAGATTTTACAAGGCAGTGTGTCAATTAAATGGTTAAAGAAAAGAGTGACAAGTCATGATCTCGTACATTCTGAAAGAAAAAAATGACAATGCTTCATCTGAGAAAGTATTTGTTAATTTCTGAATGGACCCACAAATGATGTGAGGAAATCAAAACAAGAAAACTTACCATATTCTTCATAGAGAAGTGACTGAAGCTTTTGAAGTGTGAATTGATCTGGTGCCAAAGGATCAGACTCAAACTGAATCTGACATAATTTCAACCAAAGATAATCTTCTGTTTTATCAGCAATTTCGGAATGTGCTTCTAATGGATCGGACTGGCTGATAACACTGTACACAGCTCTGGGCGAGGAAACAACAAAATCAGTCAGTCAGACATTTTAGAATATGAATAAATAAAAGGAGGCAAAAGAAATTACCAAAATTTATACAGTAATCTTTGGGAAATCTTACCACAAAGTCCGAAAGGAGAAAATGTATCAGGCAAAAATATTTTGTCCACTTTGTCATAGATTTTTCCTAAAACAAGAATCTTTGCTTTGTTAGATGGAATTCATAAAAAAGCAGCTGGATATTTTAATATTTTAAAAATTTTTTGTTAATATTTTGTTCTGTACAAGAATTTTCAAAAAAAAAAAAAAAAATTGTAAGACAACCATGTTACTTAAGAACACTGTGCTTAATTTGTAAAATTTATTTTAACAGTTAATAAAATTTAAGAATAAATTTCCGTAAACTAATCCAAGATTTCTAGACAGGAAAATGTCAAAATAAAATGTAGATATGGTGATTTTTCTAGAAAAATAAAATAAAATTATGTTGAGAAAAAGAAAGTGTGTATTTCCAATGAAAATCTGTCTATATTTCCTCAAGGACACATGGCACAGTGGATAAAGGTGTTAGTTAGATCCAGTGACAGGACCCAAAGAGTGTGAGTTCAATACCTGGTTAAGGCGGTGGATAACTTTGAGAGGGGAAATAACTGACATCCATTAGACATGGTACGTAGAACTAGAACAGTCTACCCCAGCGAGTGAAATAAAGGGTTGAGTTCAACATTCCAACTACCTGAAGAAGGCTGGAGTGGACAACGGCTGAAACGTTGTGATAAACATGGCGACAAAGATGAGGACAATATTCTGAATAATGTAAGTAGTGTCCAATTAAAATAGTGAATACTCATAACTAAAAATATAATTATTGCATCTCGTATTAAAATTTTTGCATCTTCAAATATTCAAAATTTCTTCATTGATGGGACGATCTGATTGATTTTAAAACATGTCAACCCTTTTAGGGTTTCATTTCTGACAGGAGTCGATATTCAGGTATTATTTGAAACTATTGTTCTCATGATGGTTGATTAACTAGCTAGTCAATGGACACCTGATGATGACTAGAGGGTATTTGATCGAAACAGTGTGTCTATAATAACATCCATATGCACCAAGATGAGAACAATAGTTTGATACAAGAATACTGACAATTACTCATCTCAGAAATGAAATTATAAAAAGCAGTATGAACCAACCACCATAACCAAATGTCAAGGCCACCTGACCTTGAATATAAAAAGGCTCCAAAAACTTCAGGATGGTGGCATAGTGGATATAGGAATTGGTTATATATCTGTTACTGTCATCTAGTGGTCAGGAGTTCAAATCCTTGATGAATCACCAATTCAGCAGGAATCTCTATCTATAAAAGGCACGATATGTGTGTGTGTAACGAATGCACGGCCGCAATTTTTTACCAAAATTTACATGTACATGCTCCAAGTTAGCGGGAAGGCCAAGACCGACTTTGCATTTCCCAACTCCCACCGATAGTGGAAATAATCAATTTTTCATGCTTCTTCTCGGCAGTTTTCATGTAGTTTGCGGCCATTTTCTACTGGCCAGGCGAGAGCCAATAGCTGGCTGCCGCAAATGAGCAGGAAGATTCTATTGGCCAGCGTGAGAGTCAACAGCTGACTGACATGAATTTTAACTAGCATGCTAGCATGCAAAAAAAAAAAAAAAAAAAAAAAAAAAAAATGAAATTGATAGCTGCATTCGTCACAAGTGGGAAAAATTTAAATCTGCATGGCACTTTACTCCAATTGGCTCATTCGCTTGCTTAAACTCAATGTTGATTCTGATTCCGCAGAACTGGGTTGGGTGTGAAGAAGTATTTTTTTTCATTCGGTTTTTCAAGTTATGAGTCCATTTTTAAAGCTGATCGTTTTGTGTTCATTTTGTTTAGTTCTTTTTTCGTAACAGATTTAATGTTTAATATAGAGCTTAGAAAAAATTTGCAGTGGGAGATAGGCAAGAAGTAAGGCATGTAGCAACATCAGCACGGCAAGCCAAAAATATTCTAAGTGATAGCGATTGCTGTACAAGTCGTACGATTTTTGAATCAAGCACGGGCAATGCTGCCAGTGAATAGTAAATGGTATCACAAGGAGAAAATATTGTAAGATTCAACAGATATCCCATATCAACCAATCAATGGGCATCTGATGATGCGCAGAGGGTACTTGGCTGAAATGCTGTGCCTGTAGTAACATTTATATCAAGATAAGAACAATACAATATTCGTAAACTTAAGGAATCAGCACATATGCTAGGCCACAGAAATCTCCTGAGCCAACTAAGCATAGAAATGAATACAATATGGGAACCAGTAATAAGGAGTGCCAGAGAAAAGAGATAATAACAAAAATTGCAATATGTGTTCTGGTAAAAAATGGTTGCTGAAGACATTAGGTTTAGAATACCCAGAAATTCATACACAGATGTCCTCAAGGACACATGGCACAGTGGATAAAGGCATTGATTAGAGAGTGTTAGTTCAATACCCGCTTAAGGTAGTGGAGAACTTGAAGAGGGGAATTAACAGGAGATAACTGACATCGTGGAACTAGAACAGTACCCCAATGAGTGAAATAAAGGTTTCAGTTTGACATTCCACCCACCTGAAGAAGGCCAGAGCGTACAACAGCTGAAACGTTGTAATAAATATGGCGACAAAGAGGAGGACTATAGTTTGAATAATGTAAATAGTGTACATAATACCTCATCTCAGAAATATAGACAGAAAGATAATGCAAGAATACTGAGTAATATTCATGTTTTTTTTTCAAGTTTAAAGAAATCTTCCTAGACATCTGCAGACAGATTTCTTTAAATTTGAAAATTCTGAAATTGGAAGTAGAAGCACATTATTACAAAAGAACGTGATAAACAAAAAAGGAAAGTGAAATAAAATAAAAAAAAAAAAAAGATTTTTCACGAGATTTAATTTCTCAGAGCTATTTCTTCAAGTACCTTAATATTTTTTTAAGAAATTCAATATTATTGTAAATACTAATTTTATTGTAAACCAGACTGTTCTTTGAGACTTCTGTTGTGGGATGAAGACAAAATTACCTTTTATAGGGATCTGTACTGTTTTTCACTGTACGACGGTAAAAATGCCTGACTTTGGTCAGAGTACTTGGACCAAGGCTGTGAGAGAGAAAAAAAAAAAAAAAAATTAAAAAATATATATATATATATATATATATATATATATATATGCACATTTCATTGAAAATGACAGACAAGGTGCTTTTATTTAGTTTTTTATACAATTTCTCATGCGATCTAATAATTTTTTTTTCTTTTCGGATGATAAATTATATAAAAACTGTCTGAATGTTCTTTTTATCCGAGCGCTTTCGGCTATACATAGCCATTTACCTAACATCAGGAAGAAGCTGTTGAAATTTCTGGGACTCATAATGGGAAGAAAGGGCCTGGAGAATCTGATACAGGTTGAACAGAAGGAAACAGAGACAAGGGAAAGCAATGCATGACATACCTGGCAGGCTTAAGCAAGTGGATGACAGAACATACTCATGGGGGAGATGGCAGAGGGACAAAACATTAAGAGCTACAAAGGATAGGGGAAAGTGGAGAGCCATGATCGCCTACGTCCTGAAGGGACACAGCACACAAAAAGAAAGAAGAAATTAAGTTGAAAATTGTTTGTAAACAATGAAGAACACAGTTTTGTGACACATTGATTAATAAATAAGCAGTGTGGAATAATCGTTTTCATTTTTCATAATGGGTGAACATGAATTTCTAAATAGCAGAACAATATTCGGCAAACGAATGACAAAGTGGACAAAATTACATGTAATGCGTTTCGGCCTCTAGGATGTCATCAGAATAAAGTCATGTTTTTGTTATTGTAGGAAAGGGCGGGGGAGATAAAAAAAAAAAAAAAAAAGCAAGTATTCGTTATAATTATGTACTGACAGGAAATGTTGAAATATTAAATTTTATTTTTTTTTTTTTTTTTTTTTTAAAAGACATGTTGGGACATATAGTCTAGCTTTCATTTTTTTTTTATCACCTATACTGTTTTAATCAAAAGAGGAAGCAACTTATGAAGATAACGTGTATAGAAAGTGCTTTAATTGCTAGATCATCCACAGTAAATTTGTGTCCAGGTTCTTACTTATGCACCTTGCTTGGCAGATCTTTTATTATCACAATATGGGAGACTCAGTAATAAAAATGATATGAACAATAACAAAAGCATCACTGAATGAGATCAGCTAGACTAGGAAAAAAAAATTAAAAAAAATTGTAGTTTTATACCCCCCACACACACTTCTTCCTACACACATAGAATTTGATCAACAAAATCATTACTTTAGTCCAATGAAGTCAGAGGATGAAACACATCACACAGAATTTTTTTCATTTCTCATATTTAAGTCCAGCAATAGACAAGGTTCTGCATTACATCAACTCTATAATAATTAAGTTTTTAAAGTAGATCTTTATTTTACATAAACTTTAAAGAAATGCATAATTTGATGAACAACACCTATTTTCTCACCCCATTTCTTCTGTTTCTTTGTTAGACGTAAACCAGGTCTTCCCTGGTTCACACCAATAGAACTGGGTATCAAACCATGACCTGGGGGCAGAAGCTGGCCAGTTGGGTCAGGAAAGGGAGCAGTTTTGTTTTGGAAGGTTTAAAATTAACAGTCGAGCAGAAAATATCAACCCTGAGTGGAAAGCACAATATTGTGTCAATTGGTAATAATTCCTGGAAGATTAGGTTTTTGCATCCCCACACCCGCAAAAAAAAAAGTTATTAAACTGTATTAAATATAAACCAGGTGCTCTTTTAAAAGCCAAAATGCTTAAATATAAATTATATAAATGTTTGTAAAAATTACTGGTTTCAAGCACTTGTAGTGTTTGTCAACAAGAACTTTAAAATGTCATATAAATTTAGATTTGGTAAAATGAACAGATTCAAATTATAAGAAATAAATTATTAGAACACATTCTATTAATCAGTTTCAGACAAAATAAAAACCTTTTTACCAAAGACTATTAACAACATACAATCTCCTTACTGAGTGGATTTCAACTTAAAATTAAATTTAACTTGTGATTTAAGAAGAAAGACAAATTTCAGTTTTTAAGCAGGTGTAGTTATTAGACATTTTTATACTCTTCAATTAACACGCATTTAAATAGAATCGAGTATTTTTCTGTTAAAATATTTGTGTGTATTTTTATTTACTATTACGTCAGTGTGGGAATTATAAATAAAAAGACAACATATAGTCAGTGAGAATGTGTTATAGTCCAAGTAGCAGTTGATTGTAACAGCCCAAGTAAAAGTCATTAAGAAATCTTCCTGTGTCTCATCTATTCCATCTTGCAAAAACTGTTTTCATTTGAAGAAACTGAACTTATAAATAATTAAAAGGAAAAAACCAAAAAAAGAAAATAAAAAGGGGAAAAAACAAAAGAAAAAACAAAAAAAAAACAAACAAACAAAAAACAAACAAACAAAAAACAAACAAACAAAAAACAAAAAACAAAAACAAAAAACAAAAACAAAAAACAAAAACAAAAAACAAAAACAAAAAAAAAAAACAAAAAACAAAAACAAAAAACAAAAAAAAAAAACAAAAAACAAAAACAAAAAAGTAGAAAAAAGAAGATGAAAAAGGGAGAATGAACAATTTTTGTCAACTGTAGTCAGGATCATCAAGTCAATGCGAACGATTCTTTCCTTAGCTACATAGTATGTGCTTCACCAGAGCTACATACAGTTTTGAATTCAGAGTTTTCCTGCTCCTAGACCGGTTGCCACCCAAGGCTAGAGAACCCAGTCTGTCCTAGAGTTGAGGGTGGGAGAGAGCAGTTAGATTCATACCTTTCCCAAGGGTATTAGTACCTAAGTGAATGAAATTAACTCAACTGGAATTCAAACTCTGCTTTCCAATTTCTCAATCCATTATCCTACCATGCCTCCTAATTTTTGTAAAACATCTCAATGATTTCTGGAATATAAAACTTTGGGATTTGCCCTTTGTCTGCTTTGCAGAAGGGCTGAATATCTTTATGGGGCAAAATTTTCACCTCCTTTTTGGAAGCAAATTTCATACACAATCTGTACCAGCTATTTATGGGACAAAGAGATAGTCAACAATGTATATACAAACAAATATTAAATTATAATTCTTGAATGCAATATGTAACAAACAAAAACAATCAAGTTCCTATTTTTTTTTTTCAGAGGGGGTGAGGTGAGGTGAGGTGAGGTGAGGTGTGTGTGTGTGTGTGTGGGGGGGGGGGGGGGGGCTATTTTGTTCAATGTAAAATCTTTCCAGGAATGTTTTGGTTCTGTAAAAGGTCAATTATCTTTAGTGTGATTGTCAATTCCTTGTTTTAAAATCATTTCCTCAACAACAAAATGAAGAGAAAATTACTTACCATCTGTCATTCTTGATATATTCAAGCATGATATCTGGAAAATCCCTCAATTGTTGGCTAGACAGAGAGAGAAACAAAAAAATGTTGATCAGATCAAGTAAAAAGTTTGGTTAGAAATTACTAGAAGTGTGAAAGAAGTGTTTTGCTATTAATTTTGCTGTGGATTAGCAAATGAAAATTTGAGAAATGAGAAATGAGAAATGAAAAAAAAAAAAACAAGAGACAGATCAGACTGAAAATGGAGCCATATATTAGCAGTCTTCATTTTCCAGTCCAAAAGGTGTCTACACAGACTTGTGGGTGATGAATTATTTTTCACCCAGCAAACCCCTTTCTCACAAATGAAACAGTCCAAGCCTCTCACTGCCTTATCACTACTTCCATAGAAAGTGTTGGTTCCAATCCAAGTAGGAATGATGGCATAAATGCCACCCTCCCCAAATTTATAGAAAAACTTCTGAATTTGCTTGATGTTGCCATCTACAATTTGTAACTTGTATTTTGTTTTTTTTTTCTCTTGCTGATAACTATACTATCTTGATGGTTAGTCATTTTTTTCTAGATTTCTTCTGCTACCCCGTCTCGGAGGTCCTGTAGTTCTCTTTCTGTATCTGTCATCAATACGGTGTTGTCTGAATATTTTGTATTGTTAAGATTGCACCCACTGACAATAAATCCTGGTAGGGTCTCTAGTTCCCTTAGGATATCATCACTGGAGAGGTTGAATAAATCTGGAGAAAAGACACATTCTACCCTTTTCTATTTTTGTACAGATCCTTGATTCATTTTTCTAGGTGTATGCAAGCAGTTTTCTCCTAGTACAAATTCTGGAATTGCTATTATATCTATAAATACTTTCGTTCTAATTGTTCTGATGAGCTTTCCTCTTTGGTACCTAGACTTTATGAATTTAAACTCAGTAGTAGATTGATGACAAAGTCTCATCATTTTACAGTTGGAATGACTCGGACATAATCACAAGTTACATGTTGAGTTTCTTTTCCGGCACTTCTTGCTTATGGAACTCACTTCTGGCTTCTTGCTTTCCATTCAACTTTGAAATTCAAAAATTTAAATGTAACATCATTTATTATTTTCTGCCTTCTTAATTCCTGTTCTTTTATTGTTCTCTCTCCTTAATGTTTTTGTTTTTTCATATTTCTCTCATGTACAGTAACCACTTGTGTCTTAGTGACTTCATTTCCTTGCTTAGGTTGAAATGATTAAAAAAGACAAAAACAAAACAAACATACAACACAAATTGATAATGCCTAACAAATATGTAAAATTACTGGAATTTAATGTGCTTAAAGGCAAGTAAATTTTTGAAATGAAAGGTGTTTAATACGAAAACTAGAACAACAATAATCAGCTGATGGAAAAGTTCAAAGCACTTGGTTTGGTTTATTTTGTTTTACAGCATATAAACCTAGTTATTTAATGCCGACAACATTTTTAGGATAGATTTGTATGAATAGAATATGTATTCTTTGGTTTAGATTGGTTTGGTTTATTTTGTTTTACAGTATATTAATGCCGACAACATTTTTTATTGCTGGTAATATTTTGTTTTGCCAAAAATCTGTTTCTGGTAATATTTTTCCTTCAAAAATGTATTGCTGGCAATAATTTTTTTCAAAAAAGTATTGCTGGTAATAGTTAACTATTTACCCATAGCTGGGACCCTAACAGGTGCTACCACCCCGGGTCAGGGTGGACCTGGGAATACCAGCAATTAAGAGGTGGTTCCACACTCCTCAAAACCTCCTGATCAGAGGCCTTGATGTTGGATGTAGTTTCTCGTCTTAACCAGGACGTGGATGTAGTTCAACATCTTACTCAGGACGAGACTTATCTTGTGACCAACTAAGTTTCACATTTACACCACTCATCAGGTCCAGATAAATCTATTTGATAGATTTTTATTAGTTACCTCCGCTAATTTTCGATATTTAAGGTTTAAAATGAATTTTTGAAAATGAAAAAGCATTCTTGAAGCTTTCTTTTTAGCTTTAATTGAAAGCTAAATGATTAAATTTACAATTTCTAGTGAGCAAAATACTCTGGCTTATTTCAAATAGAAATTGTATTCATTGGAATCTCAACTTTTTGCTCACTTTCACAAAATCGGCCATTTTTAACACATTTGTAAACAAAAGTTAATTTTCGGTTTTAAAAATCTTCCAAAAATAAAATGTATTTTACATCATAATCAAGGCAATGAAGCCACTAAGATGCAAGGGGGTTACTGAGTGTTAGAGAATATGAAAACCTCCCACCCTACCCGCAAAAAATTTGTATTTAATTCTATGAAAATCAAAGTCAACTGGGAAGCAGAAAGCCAGATGAGAGTTCCATAAATGCGATAGGAGAAACTGTTAGCATAGAACTTATGGTTGCATCTAACCACCGTTTTAACTGTAAAATGATGGGACCTTACTGCCAATCTAGTACTGCACTTAAATTCATAAAATCTAGGCACCATAGATGAGAGTTCATTAGAATAAATTACTATGAAAGTATGAAAGCACAGGGAAGCTATGTTATGACGGTGGTTAAGTGATTGAAGCTGAGATGACAGGTCAAGACCAATAACATTGCAGATTCTTTGGACATTATCAAGAAACTATAAATATATAGCAGGAGAACCAGACCAGGTGTGGCAGCAATATTCAAAGCATGGGTGAATGGTAGACTTATAAATATGTAAAATAGATTCTGACATGAAAAATTGTCTAGCACAATACAGTGAACTAAATTTCCTAACAGCGGACCTAGCAATTGATTCAATATAATCTTTCCACTTCTTGTTAGCAGAAAACGTTAGTCTGAGAAGTCACAACAAATCACTCTCCCGGTTGTAAAATTGATTACTAATAATCACTATAGTTAGTAATTAACTAATTACTAGATATTTGTATGATCATATCTATAACTATCATTACCACATGTCAATTTTCATAATGTAGTATTCATATAAAATAGAAATTTTATTGTAACCTGATCATATACAATATAGTTGAATAATTCAACTAGAAAAATTGAAAATAAATAAAATGTATCAAAAAGTTAGAGACACGTCATAATAGATCATTCCATCTTAATAAATCAGCAATGTGTTGCGGCAATTTTTAGCATCAACTTCAGATATTACTTGTTAAAAATTGAATAATTTTAACACATTCAACATTAGGAATAATTAATAGTGGATTTTATTTCATGAAAGTATTTATAGAAAAGTCAATGGAAAGCTATATTACAGTAGTGGGAAAATGACTAAGGCTGAGATGCCAGGTGAGGACCAATAAAATTTCAGATTCCTTGTTTTTAAAAAAAAAAAAAAAAAAAAAAAAAAAATCAAGAATCTCTAAATAAATAGCACCAGACCAGATGTAAAGGCAATATTCAAAGCAATGGTAGACTTATAAATATGTTAGATAGATTCTGGTGTGAAAAATTGTCTGGCATGATACAATGAACTAACTGTCCTAACAGCAGACCTAGCAGTTGATCCAATATAATCTTTCCACCTCATGTCTGCAGAAAATGTTAGTCCAAGAAAGCACGATGAGTCACTCTCGTGGAGGTTAGCATCAGCTATGCTGATAGAGGATTAATACGGATTTTACCGCGGCCATTAATGGGTTAAGTGTAAGAAGAAGAAAATGTTTTCTTATCTTCGGTGCCACAAGGTTTTCAAGAAAAGCAAAAGAAATTGAAGAGTGTGAAATCATCAAAAAGCAAACTAAACCAAACCTCGCTTTGCTGATCACTTCTTGGACAGCATTTAAATCTCCACAACGCAAACAATAGTAAATCATTGACCAAATTGGCTGTCCTTCCAACAGTCCATCCTGAAAAAAGAAGGAAGAATTGACATTAAATAAATAATCAACTATTTTGCTTTGAAAAAAAAAAAAAATGAAAAAAAGAAATAAAAACCAGTAAATCATTAAAACAAATTTCCACCTCTGTTTTACAGTCACTTGAAGCCAGATCCATAACAGCACAAAAGCCTTATTCTATTTGGTAAACCCAGATCTTTGAAAAGAAAATTAGATTTTGCAAGAACACCAAGAAGTTGCCATGGTGTGTGTATATATATATATATATATATATATATATATATATATATATATATATATAAAGAGAGAGAGAGAGAGAGAGAGAGATATGCTATTTCCAGCTATGGCAGATGGCACAACTCACAACATAAGCACTCTAGTCAATGTGCGTGCATTTTATTGGGCAACCAGATCCCCAGAAATGGTCCAGGCTGCTAGAGGATGGGTGATTTTATTTTTATTTTTCATAGAGTCTAAAAAGCTTGAATCCGCAAAATTGATCTAAATGATTTAAAAAAAAAAAAAAAAAAAAAAAAATTGATTGTAATTTAAATTAAACAAACCTGTGAGGGAGAGAGAGAATGAGGGACCCTCCCTTGTGAAACTGTGACAGTGGGAATCCAATTAAACTCTACCATTTTAATTTTGTCAATACTTTTGAAAGACTAAATTTTGTCAGATGGCTGTCTAACATATTTTAAGACGATTGCTGAAAATTTCTAAGTTCATAACTGAGAAAAGAAAAAGAAAAAGAAAAAAGCTCTTTGCATTGTTTATGTCTAGTTTTCTTTTGGTAATCATTTCATCCGAACAAGGCGATAAAGCCACTAAGACAAGAGAGCAAGACGCTGGCACTTCTCAAGAAAAAAAAAAATCATATAAATTCACTTTCACCATATGTTTAGGTTTTATTCAGATGGAGATCCCATGCAACGCTTAACACAATTTTCGAAGAACCGAGACCAATCTCTCTTAAGCTCAAACAAAAACAATCACAGTTTGCCTCCTTTGGCATCCTTCTGGAAGTGTCTTCTCATGAAAATTGACTTTCCCAGACACCATAGCTCAGGACTTAGGGTTTGGCATTAGGGATCTGGGGACAGCAATACAGGACTGAACAGTGTGGAAAGGTATTGACAATGGAGTTCTGGCCAACTATAGGGTGGTTGAAGGATGATGATGATGATATGGTTTTATTACAATTCTAACCATCACTTCTTAAAACAAACATTGCTGAGGAGTGAAGGTAGTTAAAATAATAGCAGTGTCAAGGGAAAAACCATCTTTTGACACTGCTCTGGGAATGAAGATCCAGGTTTCTCACAATTTTTTTTCCAAAACCAGATTGTTAATAATAATAATAATAAAAAAAAATTACCTCTCCTCTCATTGGCGTAGGATGCTTAACATTAAGAAAACTTCTGATGAGACTGTAAGTTCCTGGTTTTCCTCCACGTTTGGCCTTGTAGAGGTTTTCGTAGACCATATTGGTGATATATTTAACATACCTAGCAAAAATTAAACAAGGGAGATAATAATGAAAATTACAGAGGAGTATTTAACTCTTTAGCATTCAACCTGCCTCATAAATATCAGTTCTCAATGTTCAACCCACCACATGTATACTCTGTATGATAACATCATCGTAAATAATGCAGAAAATTGCACAAACAGTAGAACTTTCAGAGCAATATTTATGGGTCAGATATTGAATGCTAATTAATAGCAAGAAGAAAAATAAATAAATAAAAGTATTTGCCGTGCACCTTATGGATAAGTAGAGGCCTTCTATGGGCTAATTTTATCCCCATTGCTCACTACTGTAGGCCCTAATTTTACCCCAGACTTCCATTTCTACCAAGCCCAATTTCACAATATGCTATTCAAATGGTAATGTTTTTATCATAACAATGCTGACAACAAGAACTCTAAAAGTACTGGCAAAGGCTGATTCATTATAGCTAAATAGGTCGCAACACTTTGCTTTAGAAAGAAAAAAAAAAAAAAAAAAGAAAAAAGAAAAAGAAAAAGAAAGAAAAAGAAAAAAGAAAAAGAAAAAAAAAAAAAAGAAGGAAAAAAAAGAAAGAAGGAAAAAGAAAGAAGGAAAAAAAGAAAGAAGGAAAAAAGAAAGAAGGAAAAAAAGAAAGAAGGAAAAAAGAAAGAAGGAAAAAAGAAAGAAGGAAAAAAGAAAGAAGGAAAAAAGAAAGAAGGAAAAAAGAAAGAAGGAAAAAAGAAAGAAGGAAAAAAAGAAAGAAGGAAAAAAAAAGAAGGAAAAAAAAGAAGGAAGGAAAAGAAAGAAGGAAAAAAAAAGAAGAAAAAAAAAGAAAGAAGGAAAAAAAGAAGGAAAAAAAGAAAGGGAAAAAAAAGAAAGAAGGAAAAAAAGAAAGGGAAAAAAAAGAAAGAAGGAAAAAAAGAAAGGGAAAAAAAAGAAAGAAGGAAAAAAAGAAAGGGAAAAAAAAGAAAGAAGGAAAAAAAGAAAGGAAAAAAAAGAAAGAAGGAAAAAAGAAAGAAGGAAAAAAAGAAAGAAGGAAAAAAGAAAGAAGGAAAAAAAAGAAAAGAAAAAAAAGAAAGAAGGAAAAAGAAAGAAGGAAAAAAGAAAGAAAAAAAAGAAAGAAAAAAAAAAGGAAAGAAAGAAAAAAAGAAAGAAGGAAAAAGAAAGAAGGAAAAAGAAAGAAGGAAAAAAAAAGAAAGAAAAAAAAAAAAGAAGGAAAAAAAAGAAAGAAGGAAAAAAGAAAGAAGGAAAAAAGAAAGAAGGAAAAAAAGAAAGAAAAAAAGAAAGAAGGAAAAAAAGAAAGAAGGAAAAAAAGAAAGAAGGAAAAAAAGAAAGAAGGAAAAAAAGAAAGAAGGAAAAAAAGAAAGAAGGAAAAAAAGAAACTACCTTGTCAGTCATATATTGAAAGATACATGATCGCCTAAGCGTGTATCATGCATGGCACATAACAGAAATGAAAGCTTTGGTTATAATTATGCATCAACAAGAAATGCTGAAGATGTTGGAACATTGAAAATTAAACAACCAGATGGGCACGCCATGTGATCAATGTCAGTTTCTTTACACTTTTGTATTTAATCACTTTCATTATTAACTAAAATTTGCGTACGAGACTTGCTTCTCATTCGCCCAAGACTTCCGATCTTATAAATTTATGCTGGCTTGAATTTTTAGTCTTTTTTATTTTTTGTTGTACACCTGTCTGCGATATAAGAGTTTTGGAATAATTCAACCTTTCAACAAGACCTGACATGCCAAGCAAATTCGCTTTTTGGGAGGTAAGTCTTCTTGTTTCTCACAATATTAGTAGAGCATTATCAATATATCGGAAATGTGTTGTTTAGGTAAAATACTCTATATAATACTGAAACTCTAATCTTTTATGTGTGTGTGTGTGTTTTCCCACGATACACTTTAAACAATATATAATACCCCAACCAATTAAAGAACCCTTGCCAAGTGCAGTGCCAAATTTCATTCAAATTAGACAAGAGGTTCTCGAGCTAGGACTGTTTTTTTACAGCATTTTTAATAGAAAATTCAGTATTTGTTTTCAACACACATTCTTATATCAATCTGCGTATATAAACACTTGCATATTATATTCCAACTATTATGTGGGTGAAAAATAATAAACATTCATAATACATCATAACATTATTAAATAAGTTTAGATATACATAACACAACATATACAATTCACTATACTACATTAGAACTTTTCTTATAAACAAATATCTTGGATGTTTGGCAGGTACACGATAGGTCAAGACAGTATGTGGGTGTGTCATTGTAAAACAATTTGTATGGTTGGAAAATTGTATCACATGACTTGATGGTAATTAAATCAATGCATGCTAGTTTGCAGATGTTATGTATCTTGAAATAAATGTGAGGAAGAAACAAGAAAAAATATATTGGGTTGGTGCATAATTATCAGGCGTTATTGTAGGCAAGTTATTTGTTAATAAAAATTGCTGTTTTGTTTACTTTATTTTAATAAAAATATTATTGTTGAATTGTTATGTTTCTTTTTTTCATAATAAATATTGTTTAAAAATGCCTGATAATTATGCACCAATCGAATAATTATTATTAATTTCTTATTACATTTGATATGTGACATATTGTATCAAGAGAGTAAGAATAATTATTGCAATAACTTGTATTGCAAATACAAATTAAAATGTGTAATCTATATAATAAATATGAATGTCAGTGTGTCACACATTTTCAACTTTACCCCTAGAGGCCATAGCCCAACATATCATTTGGGATTCAGGCCAACTCTGTGAACAAATCAAAAACATTCTGGGCCGGATCTGGATTTGCAATCGTGAAATTTTGGATTCTCAAGTTTTCATTACTGTGATTGTTTTTGCTGGTTTCTTGAGGGAAATTTTTTGTATGATAATTTTTATAACTTAGACATAAATTTGGGAATAAGCAAAATTAATTGCAAAATCCAGCAAAAGTCAACCATGAAATAAAAATAATTGTTTGTACGTAAAGTAAGGACCTACGTACATGAAATTGTCTTTAAATTAAGTGGCAGTAGAAGAATTATCGTTGAACTTTTAAAAGGTAAGCTTAAATATTAGTACAATAATTAAATGCAGTGATCAATTTTGAGTTCTTCTGTAGTTTATTGTTGCCTATCACATCTATTCCTCCTCAGCTACTGTGATGAAGGCCCAATCGAGAGCCCTCTGCAGGAGCTAGCTCAAATGTCACTCAATAAGGCATCTCATCTTTTTGTATAATGAACTGCTTTTAAAAGGAAGCCAATGGAATCATGGGCACTAAAGTTATTCTTAAAATACATGTTTATATGCACTAAGAATATCTTTTCTTGAATATGCCCTGCTGAAATGGCAGTAGATTTAATATGTCATATGTCATGTGTCATTAATGTTTCCAAAGACAAGTGCAGATAATGAAATCAATAGCAGGTGGGTAGGAAAGAATTAGTTAAACAATGTACTTACATGTGTTCGAGGTATTTCCGAGCTTGGCTAACAAATGCTTCCAATAATTTTCTGTCGTGCCTGGCGTGACGCGAACCAGGGGTGACAACTGGGACGTCTACCATGAATTTTACCATGGACCAAAGCTTATCTATAACCAACTGAAACAAAGTAATTGCTCATGATGATAAAATTGATTAATATTTTTAATTTAATTTTTTTTATTAAAATGAATTTATCAAATACAGATTTTATTATGAAAATCTTTTTGTCAATATTTTTTTATTATCAAATATGGATTCTGTGAACAGAAGTGGTTGTGTAATCAATGAACCAGCACGTTACAGAATCACAAATTGAGAACAGTCTACCTCTGTGTTCACAAAAGTTAAATCTCATAAATTAGTCATACTAACTTATTCAAGAGGGAAGATGTGATGTATTGAGTAAAGGTAAACCTTATTATCTCCCTTAGCCCATTTCTCTTATTAACCAATCAGAATCAAAGATTTGCCATGGGCCAATCATAATGGTGTCCAGCAGACTCAAATGTTAATCATATTATTCAACTTATTCCTTTAGATGTGTACAACACCATAACAATTTCTGTGATGCCCTAAGTACATGCTTATTTTGCTCGACAGGTAATCCAGCCCTGTGAGTTAAGTATGCTAGCATGGAGGCTTGGTGAGTAGTGCAAAAAAAGAAAAAAAAAAAGGACATCAGCTGAGAACGTACAACGAAAATACATATAGAAGGAATTAAAAGCACATACGACCATCAAGATAGGCTGGTCATCAGTTTCAACCCAGAATAACACCAATGCCCTGGGGACCCAACCTGAAAGAACCAATTGCAGTCACTGTTAAATGATCCTTGGTTAGATTCTAAAAGAACTGTGACAGAGTCACTAGAATTTTTTTTGAAGAGTTGACAACTTCACTGCATCCAGATTCCTTAGAGAGGCTAGCCTACACATAGTGGAATACTAAGCAAAAATGCTTCCTCGCGCTACTTCCTACTTGGTACTTCAACCAGATAAATTTAAGCATACTACTTTATTGGGTATTAGGCCTCATTTTTTTTTTTTACTGTTGAAATAGGTAAATGTAATCGTAAGTTCTATTCTAATCATTCTTTTTTTCTCATTCTTCCCAGTTCCAATTCAGAACAACATCAAGCCCTGGGAACTCAGCCAGAAAGAACCAATCACAGCTGAGCAGTCAGCCATGACCAAATTTTAACAGAAGTGTGACCAGAAGTCATTGCGTAATTAACAAACCATCCAGTTGTAGAATCATACAAAACATTACCAGAATAATGCCAAACAAAACCGAGAACAGTCTACCTCTGTGATTGTTCACAAAAATTAAATCCTATAAAGTTAATTAGTTATAAGTTATCCCATCGGAGAGATGTGATGTTTTGAGTAAATACAAACCTCAGTATTTTCTTCTTGTGAAGAAGATAAACACACTTCCCCAGAACATGACTTGGACACGTCCAAATAGCATATATACTGACACCGAGAACCGTTAGTAGAACTAGCCTGGAGTGAGCTTTATATTCTTACTACAGAATTCAGTAAGACTACGTTGACTCCAAGTGAGATTATATTTGATGATTGTGCTTATTTCATTCAATGAAATGAAGACATAACACTCCCTAAGTTCATTCCCTTATTAACCAATCAAAATTGCAATAAAGATTCGCTGTTGGTCAGTAGTCTCTCCATTCATAATGGTGACTGGCAGATTCTAATGTTGTTTTCAACTTATTACTTTATACATGTACAATGCCATATAATAATTTCCAAGATATCCCCTTCCCTTGATACCCTAAATATGTGCCTATTTTGCTTAATGGTTAATCCAAACCTGTTTGGTTTGGTTTACAGTATATCAACCTCAATGGGTTATTTAATGCCAACAACATTTTTATTTCTGGTAATATTTTTTTCCCAAAAATGTATTGTTGGTAAAAATTTTTCCGAAAAAGTATTGCTGGTATTAAAACCTATTTTTATAATTTCATGATGTTTTGACATGTATTGATTACCTCCCTTACTGTTGAAATGTCGAGTTACGTGCCCCTTACTTGACAGATATAAATGGTCACCATATTAGGCATCTTTTTTTTTTTTTTTTTTAAATTACTCTTTTAGTCAATTAATCTTCATTAAGCCATCGCTCTATTGCTTGAATATACAGTAAAATTATAGTGGAAATAAATTTTTTCTAAAATAGTCTAATGGATATGTCATTTGTCTACATATTTCCAGGTTGAAAGTTCAGATTACAATATAATATGCTAAGTGTTCAAGCAGGTTTTCTGTAAGAATATATATTTTCTCTTATGACTGAAAGCATTTGTCTTTCCATGGGATCAAAAGAGAATAGTCTATTATTTTAAGAGGTATTGGCAGGGTGTAACGGTTGTGCAAACTAACAAAGGGCAAAGGGTGGGACAAGTACAATTATTATATAATAATAAAAAAAAAGGTGTGTAAATTAAGAATTGAACACGTTTTTCATGCTAACAGAAACCTCTACCAAAAAGTGCCCAATAGATAACTATGGCTAAAATAATAAAAATAAAATAAAATTTGATGCAACAAAAGACAGCTTCCTTAAATGATGACAGGAAAGTTATCAGCATTTTCTTTCTTCAGTTACGGCTTTGTTTATTTATTTATTTATTTTTCACCAAGGCAAAGGTGATAAAGCCAACTAAGTTGCAAGGAGTTACTGAGAGTGAAAGAAAATTGAGAAAATGTCATTGGGGAGAGAAAGGACAATAAAAGAACAAGTTTAACAAAAGACAGATGACAATTGATGTTGCATTTAAATCTTTGAAGATCAAAGTTTACAGGAAAGCAAGAAGCCAGAAGAGAGTTCCACAAATGAGAGGGACCAGAAGAGAAATCATTAAAATAGAACTTACACTTAATTTCAAAATAAAAATGATGAAACCTACCTGCCAATCTAGTACTATGCTTAAATTTGTAAAGAGGAAAGCTCATCTGAATAACTGCTACAAATATTTGGAGGTTCATTGTTATGCAAATTAGACTTGTACACCACAAATTAAAAAAAAAAAAAAAAAAAAAAAAAAAAAACAAAATAAGAATAAAAACAAAAAAATATTACCGGGTCACCGAGGCTTTCAGCAGCTTCCATAAACATATCTTGCAAATTGGGTGCAATCCCACCTTCTATCACCTTCTTGTTGTATGCATATACCTTTGGAAAGAAAGTAATTTGCCAATAATTAAGTTTTGGGTCTTATGGAAATTCCATGGTGACTGAAAGGGTATAAGATTTATAATTGTCCAAATTTGATAGATGAAGAACTGCTATCATAACATTTTGGTAAGTTCTTTCTTTTTCAGTTGACTAAATTTGAATGACAACTTTGATCGGCTTTTGTGGCCTAATTGATAAAGTACTATCCACATCAGGTAGGCTACCAAAAATATGAGTTACAAGTTCAAATCTTGCAGGAAGATACTTTTTTTTTTTTTTAAAGGCAAAGTTTAACATTAATGACCACTAAAAAGAAAATATATAAATTCACTATCCTTTGTTTGGGTTTTATTAAAATTTTAATCAAAAAGGTATGAACCCCCCCAAGCTATGGGTTGATTAGTAAGACTTATCACTAAATCATTATTATCTCAATAATAATAATAAAAAAGAAAATTTTTTTTTAACAATTTAAAAATATCTTATGGTTATTAAATAGCCAACAAAAGGTTGATAAGCCATAAACAAATGAACCAATCAATCAACAATTATCACCTGTGTTAAATCTTTCCGAACTATTCATTGACTCTCAGGAGCATCCCTATTTGGTTTATGACCTTATGTTTGGGAAACTACTCTAAATATATTCAAGATCAATTCATTCATTTTTTATGTTTTATTAACTCTTTGTAGATGATTTAATGCCAGAAAATATTTTTAGATTTATAAGAATTTTTTGGGAGATAATGATTTAGTGATAGAAATTTTACTAATTAACCTACAGCTGAAGTGAGAAGAGTTGGATATATACCTAATCAGAATTTGATAAACTTTATATACAGCTAAATAAAATAAATTATGTGTATATAAAGTGGGGGATCAATATCGATACACAACCAATATATAAACTGACCCCTCACTTTGTGAACCCTAGTTTCTATACATTTATATTCCAGAGAATGTAAAGAAATCTGTGTAGCTAATCAGTATTTTATTGATGGATATTTTTTCTACAGCACATCAACTCCTTTCTGGGTTATTTGAAGCCAGAAAATATTATCATCACAAAAAAAAAAAAAAAAAAAAGTTTTTACAATCTAAAAATTAGATTGTAAAAACTTTTTTTTTTTTGTGATGATAATAATTTAGTTATGCAAGAAATGGATTCATACCTTTCCCAAGGGTATTTGCACATAAGTGAATATAATGAACCCAACTGGAATTGGAACTCTGCTCTCTGATTAAAAATTCTGAGCTATTCTACATTAAACCACCCACAAATCCAAAATTACAGCACCTGGTATTCCCAAACGGTCACCCATCTAGGTACTGAACAGGTTTACTGTTGCTTAACTTCGGTGATCGAACAAGAACTGGTATTTCAACGTGATGTGTCTGTAAGCTCTAAATATATTCACATCTTGCCAGTTGAATAACAACAGACTATAGTGAATTACTTACTTGACTGGCGTAGGCCATTTCGACATTGTTCAAGGCACTTCTTCCTTGCATGCTGACTGCATCAGAGAGCAAACTTTGCTGCATTAAGAAGAAAAGAAAAGGAAAAAAAAATAATAATATAATAATCATCAATAAAATGTCAATTTGGGAAAAAACTGAGAAAAATAATCTGAAACATAAGGAATTACTTTTACAATATATATTTTTTTCCTGCAGAAAGATTAATTATCAAAGCTAATTATTGATTTGATCTGCCTTGTGGCTGAAAGTGTTGTGTATTTCTCACTAGCACTCCTGGTTGTAATTGTGAATACTAATCATTACAGACAGGTATATGTAGACCTTCTCACCCCAAAGATTGGTGCAGCATCAGCTTCATTGTACGAGTAATTTACTAAGCTTAGCTTAGATGTGGCACATGGACACAAATATGGAGCAGCTAGTGAAGATCAACATCACTATTCAGTCATAATTGATTCTGTGAAAGAAGCCTACTAACTGTTACACCATGTCAAAGTGCCCTTCTGTGCACTATACTCTGTTAAGCTGTGTAATCATGTGTAGTTAAGGATTTTATGAAATGCAAATCAAGTTCCATTGGACTATAGCCTAGATCAGTGGTTCCCAACTTTTTTTCTCTGGGCCACATTTTTGGAATTAAATTTTGTTTGCACATCAAATTTTATGTGATAAAAAGTACATTTAAAAATTTAAAAAAAAAACGAGAAAGGGTTAAAGGGAGATAACCGCGGATTTGAAGTCAAAACATTATCATTGATAACTCTCCTCCAATTTGCAGAGCCTAGTTACTATATTTAATGCAAAAATATCACAATGATAAAATTGGTCAATAATTATTTATAACTATTTATACTGGGACTCATGCATGCAATTACAAGTAATCCATAATATTTTCAATTTTGAAATCATTTATTTTCGGCATATGACTTTTTTGAAACTGTTTCTAAATCTTTGATCGTTTTTCAATCATTCTGCCTCACCTGCTATCCTCTACCGCCATACTGCACCATTTGCGAACCACTTGCTTAGATGATTAAAGTGTTGGTTTTCAAATTTGGGGATATAATTGTGAGTTCAATCCCTGAGCATGGTAGTGCAAACTCAATGGATACAGGGATAAAAAAATAACTAAGCAGTACTAAATAAGGAGTTCAATTCCTGGTCTGGGTAGTGCAGACTTAGACTCAGTGGAAACAGGGTGAGTGATAACTGAGCAGTACTAAATAAGAACAAGATACAATATCCATCAGGTTAGCCGAAAAAGTCTACGTAAGCTATGGAGGACACAAAGTGATGCAATTCAATTTCTAATAAGTGAAAGTGAGTAAATGATATTCTTGTAATTTTTTCTTATAATGCAAATCAATATTGAAATTATTTTAGTTTGGGATTAATTTATGTTATTTAAAATATATAACATAAAAAAGAAAAAAAAAAATCATCTCACCAATGGTATATGACTTTCCTTTCCTTCCTATCTGAAACTGGTAGCTGCTTTAAAAAGATGTCTTTAAATTTCACTTATTATTTTTTTCTTTCAGTGCCCATAAAGTTGGCAAACTTGAACCTTTATACCCATCCAAAAAAACTTGTGTCAAAAAGATGCCCCCCCCCTCCTGACACCATTATTATTAGGTTGTCCCAAAAGTTTGTAAACACTTGCAAAAAATTGAAATTTTACTCGCCAAGTAAAACAAAATTTTGAGGAATAATTTTTGTTGTTTTTGTTAAAACAACAAAAATTATTCCTCAAAATAAAGACCATCATTTTCCAAGTCTTTCTGCCATCGATCTGCAAGCTTTCGGATCTGGTGAAAGTACCATTCAGCTGGCTTCGAATGAAAGAATTCTTGACACGCTTCCTCGACTTCATCAAACGAGTTGAATTGGCGGCCCTTCAGAAAGTCTTGCATTGAGCGGAAAAGGCTGTAATCTGATGGAGTACAGTCAGGACTGTAGGCTGGATGTGGCAGAACCTCAACGCCACCCAGCTCTTCAAACCTGTCTTTGGTCTTCCTGGCGGTGTGTGGCTTGGTATTGTCCTGCTGCATCAAAGCGCGCTTTCGGTTGATCAAACCCGGGTACTTTTGCTTCAACTTTTCGTAGACCCATTCCAGTTGCTGACAGTAAAGTTCGGCACTGATGGCACGACCATTCGGAACCAACTCAAAATGCACGATTCCTTCAAAGTTCCAAACGCACAACATGACTTTCTTGCCGAATCGATCTTGTTTTAAAACCGACAGTGTCTCTTGCCCTTTCTGAACCCATCGCTTGTCTCGATTGTGCTGGATTGTGTTGCATAAAAATTCAATTTTTCGCAAGTGTTTACAAACTTTTGGGACAACCTAATCTTTTAATTATCTTCACTCCTCAGTAATGTTTGTTTTAAAAAACGATGGTTAGAATTTTAATAAAACCCAAACACAAAATTGAATTTATGTCTTTTCTTTGTTTTTTGAGAATTAATAACAAAAATAATAAACATTATTTATTAAATTGTTTATTTTATACCATTTATTATATCATTTTGGGGAATGGTTGCCAATTGATTCGAACTTTATAAAATGATAAGGATTTCCTTATAGTTAGTTCATATATTTTAATTAATCTAGTAAATGTTTATAAATTTATGAATAAAAAATTGTTTTCACATTTATTTGATAAATGATAAATATTACATTGCATTAGTTTTGATTGTATTAATTCTTAGAATGTTGTATATATAAAATTAAATAGTGTTTAATATTTCTATTGCAAATTCTCAAGAACAGAAAAAATTGTATAAATTTACTTTCATCATATATTTAAGTTTTAATTACAATTCTTATCACTGCTTTTTAAAACCAAAAGCTTTGCTGAGCAGCAATGGTAATTAAAATAATACTAGTGTCAAGGAGGAAAAAAAAAATGTCTTTTTGACACAATGTTTTTTGTGTGGGCACAAAATTCCAAGTTTGACAGAAAATAGACTATTTATATTATTCGGACTATTGCCCTCATCTTTGTCACCATATTTATTGCAACATTTTGGCTGTTGTATGCTCCGGCCTTCTTCCCCCTGATCTCATTATCACAAATCAAACAGCTTGGAACAGCTCACTTTATCATGGTGCTTCGTCGTAATGGAACTATCTCCCTTACACGTGTCAGAGAGTCGTCTCCTGAGGAGTCATCAGACGTATCTCAAGTTTCTAGAATCTCTGCATCTGTGGAAGCATCGGATTTGCAGATCTCAATTATCCGATCACTGTCAGACGATGAACCATCATCGGATTCGCTATAGTAATACACAACTTGGCTGAATGCAAACTTGTTCTGTATGTAAAATATTTAAGCCAATGAAGTGGAAACTAAACTCTTTAGTTTCTGTCTGAATTCCTGGAATAAGGACTTATTATTTACATGCAGACTAGTGTCCTCATATTTGTTGTTTATCATCTGATCACATTTTTTCTTGAATTTCTAGAATGAGGTGGAATTATTTATCTGCAGACCATTGCCTTTATCTTTGCTATTATCACCTGATTGCCTTCTGCCTGAATTTCTGAGATGAGGGTTTATCATTATTGACATCAAGCCCTATGGAATAAAGGGAAAATACTGGACAAGAAAGAACACTGGAGAGTTAGAATGCCTGAAAGAATTAGCGCATATGCTAGACCATGAGGATCCCTTAGTAGGCCTAGCCTAGAAATAAACACAATATGGGAGCCGTTAATAAAAAGAAAGACAGACAAATTACATCATAGCTTCAGCAGCAATAACAAAAGAGAAAAGCTTCAGCAGGCAGAGTAGGTTTAAGGCTCAATATTTTCTACATATAATTGTCCTATGAGACAATTGCTGAATGGATCTAAAGCATAGGTCCATGAATCTGGTGATATTGTAATTGTGAGTTCAATCCCTGGGCCGGACACTGTGTACTTGGACTAATTGGAAACAGGGTGAGCAATAACCAAGTGGTACTAAAATAAGAACTAGATGAGATATCTCTAGACATGGCTGGTGGAATAAGAACAATCTACCCGCCCCAATTAAATAAGAGTTCACTTTGAAATTATCTGTAGGTAGGTTACCTGACTTGACATACACCTAAGGAAGGCCAAAGTGTATGACTGACTGAAATACTGGGATGACAACAAGAACAAAGATGAGGATCGTAGTCTGCATGTAAAATTCTTCTTTAGCTTTTAAACTTTGATACCAATAATTAGCACCATAATTGCATTGATGAATTTGAACCCTTACCTCAGTCTCTTGAGAATAATCTAGCATTTGGTGTCCTGTTCCAAGAAGAGCGTTTAACATTTTCTGTTTTTCTCTTTCCCATTCTTCTTCCATTGATTCCCAAAGACGCTGTTCACATGTCTCCAGTGTCTAAGTAGAGAAAAGCAAGAAATGAATCGTATATAAAGCATTAGCAGAAATAAATACACATTTATAAGAATCATTCAAATACTTTTTGTAATAGGGAAGAACGATTTATTCTCCCATTTGTATTTTCCCCCATTATGGGCATTATTATATCCATGATATAATAACATCGATATTTCACAGACAGGATGGAATAGCTGAAAGGAAAAAGAATGTCAAACATGCTTTATTCTCAGAGAGACTTTTATACTACAAAAACATACACAAAACTATATATACACACGTGTCCCATGTGGAGAACAATATATTACATATATCTAAACAGAAAAGCAGAGTGTGAGGAGAAACAAAAAGAATCTTACATATAATATGGAGATACACCTGTACCTGGAGAAGTAATTTTTATGACTACAGATTTAAACAGACTGAATTCATCTATGTCCCAGGTGAAGACATTCCATGAACGGGAAACAGCAGGTCTTTCGGTTTCCCCAAATTGAAGGCTGTGAGATGGAGTTTCATTCTATATCTGGGAAAGATACATTCCCCATAGGTAAATGGCACACTGAACTTGTAAGCTGCTTGGGTGGCAGATTTAGCATCTGTCCGGGTAATGGGTGGAGGGAGGGGTTGATTGTTTTTTAATGGAAGAGAGACTAAGCTAAAGAAAGCAACCTTACTGCTTTGTTGCTGTAAACGAACTCAAATTGATTGACCCTTTTGTCAATGTATGGAGTGATGTCATTAAGTGGCCATCACATGACCTATGTGACATATCTTCACCAAAAAGGAGATAAGTGCCTCCTGTATTCCTACACTTTGTTTGTAGAACTTGACAATGAAAAACAGAAAATGAAATGAAAAAGAGTAATTGAAAAAAAAGAACAACAAAACACCCTAAATGTGAAACTGACAGTTGCTATGCAGTGTTGATCACTATATCTACTATCTACACACCATATCTGATGGCATGTAAGATGCAAGATTGATTATGGGTCCCACAAACCACTCAAACTGTAGAGGAACCACAGGCATAATAACAGCGGAGATAGCCTGATGGAGTGCAGGCCTTTTCAGGCTGATTTGAATCCAGTTCTCCTCCTCCTCCTAGACAGGTTGCCAATGAAGGCTATAGGATCCGGTCTGTCCTGCGATTCAACCCTTGAGTGGGTGGGGAGAGAAGAGAGGGATTCATACTTTTCCCAAGGGTATTTACCCATAAATGAAGGTAACAAACTTGGCTGGTATTTGAACTTTGCTCTCTGATTTCTCATTCCGAGCCACTATTACATTACCATGCACCAATGCATTTACAAAATAAATAATACCATGTCTTATATACACAAGGCCTCCATATTCTCTGCTCACTATTGTGTCAGATACCTTCAGGATGTTGGCGATCATATCTCTCCACAGCTTCCTGTCGTTTGAAGCTGTATGTAACCTTAACCCTTGCTCTGACATACATCCACATAAACTTCTTAGGTAGGTTCTTTGCCATTTTCTCTTGCTTCTTTTACCTTCAATATGTCCTCTGAGTGTTAGATTCTCCAGGCCCTCTTTCCTCATTATATGTTCCAGAAATATCTGGTTGCCTCTCTCAGAGTGTAAGAATAAGTTTCTTTGTAGTTCCTATTCACCATAATTTACTAAAAATTTATAAAATTCTAATATTGGGGTGAGAGGTTGTTAGATGATACTTTATCTGACCCTACAGACTGGCATTTTAGAATTGCAAACCAAGAGCTTTACCAAATGATGGAAACCACATCACTTGAAGATTTCCAACAGCAGCAACAGCTAAAATGGATAGCACATTTAAATAAAAGGAAAAAATGATATAATCAAGATATTAACTTTCCACACTTAACAAAATGTTTCGAAGGAAACTCATCAATCTAGAAAGAGTGAGAAACCTATTTTTCTGAAAAACTGTTTTTAAGAGAAAGATTTCAACCTATAGTAACACTGTTCAATGAATGCTGAAGGTTACCTGTGGACAATGGCAAATCTCACCATCATATGTCATCAAATATGGGAGCAATGTTTCGTATGGCAGAAATTCCGACTGGTTAGTTTGGTTGAAATTATTTCAGACATCATGAAAACATTTGTATGCAAAAATTTTCATTATTACTTACCGTTTTTCTAGTTTTTTCAATTACAGTTAGAAGAGCATTTTCTCTTTCGTTCTTTAAAAATCCCTGAAGAAAGAAAATATTGCAATTTACAAAAGAGCAAAATAAAATAAAAAGGCGGAGTTGTATAAAATGCTCTGTGACCAGAAATAAATCTTTTTTTTTTTTTTTTAACAAAACTTGCTTTTTTATATTACTATAGATTAAGCACTCCAGACCATGAATATTTAAATTTTCTTTTTTTATTATTAAATTTTATAAAAGTCAGGGAGAGGGGGGGTAGGAACACATCCAGTGTGATATGTAAATTAATCCTATGGAAGCCAAAACAAAATATGCTCATATAACATGATTAAAAAAAAAAGAAAAAAAAGAAATGTGTTCTGGAACTCTCTTAAAATCATATAATACTATTGATTAAATATTTCAAATCATGAATAATAAAAAAAAATTTTTTGTTTTTTACATTTTAAGAAAAAACACTGAATGAGCATATTTGTTATGGTTAAGACTAGACATAAACAGGTTAAGATTGTAGTGATTGGGGAGCATCCTCTTGGGAGTCAGTTCAACAAAGTTCTTGGGAAGGAGCTGTTCAAGTGGAACTTAAATTTCCTCAATAGAATACAAAAGGGAATGAGGGTGGTTTGCTACAGTGTGCGTAGCACAGATTTTTAAAGCAATCCCACAAATTGTCAGAATAACATTATTATAGAAAAGTTGCGGCAAATAAGAAACGTCCGACTTATGTACCTCAATGTCTGTATCACGGACTGGTTCCAGGGGTTCAAAAGCTTTCTTTGCACTTAGAGACTCAAGACGCTGGGAAACTTTGGAGACATCATAACCCTGTGTGCCCAGCAGCAAGGATCTAGAAAGGATTTCAAATACAAGCAGTTGATACTCAATGCACATAACTCAATAGGAAAAAAAACAAATTCAACGCATAAACACAGCACTACTCCAATTATCACTTAAGATAAGGTGCTATTCTACAGAAAACATTGAGCCAACAATCAATTTTAAATATATAATGTTGTTATTATGGTTTAACAAGATGGAATGGTATCAGGCTGTTCTGTGTCTCATGTGGCAGTTACTTTCAGAATTGATTGATTTGTTTGTTTTTTTATGCCTTATCAACCTTTTGCAAAGGTATTTGCATGCAAGTGAATATAATTAACCCAACTGGATTTGGAACTCTGTTCTCTGAGTAAAAATTCCAAGCCAATATCGATTACACCATGCACATATCCAAACTGGTATTCACAAGTTCTAAGCTGGTTCTCTTTAATCCTGATATGCTACAGTGTTGCCATAGAAATTGATTGCAATATATTAGACTACCTCTGTCCCATAATGGTTGGTACATTTAGTGTATGAAATGTGTATGCAAATGTACCTACTATTATGGGACAGAGGTAGTAATAAATAATTCCAATGCCAAATTGGAAGGATTGCTGCTAGTTCTAAGCTGGTTCTTTTTAATCCTGATATGCTACAGTGTTCCCATAGAAATTGATTGCAATATATTAGACTACCTCTGTCCCATAATGGTTGGTAGATTTAGTGTATGAAATGTTTATACAAAATTACCATTCATTATGGGACATAGGTAATAACATTTAAAACATGCATTTTGTTCATAATATGGATATCAGATTTCAACATGTTAATTGTGAGCTTACCCAAAACTTCTAGAATTTGCTAACCCAGTTTTACAGAATTAAAAATTCCACTCCCATTAAAAAAAAAAAAAAAAAAATCCATATATCTTTATCAATTTTTCTTTCTTTTATTAAAAAATCTAGGAAAAAATCATATGTAGTCAAGTGGGGGACGCAAAAAAACTTTGGCACATTGGGAAAAATGACAAAGAAAAAAAAAAAAAAAGAAGAAAAATCTTTTCCCAGTTCTCTTCTGTCATTTTATATTTTAGCAAAGAATACATTTTTTTCTATCTGCTGAATTCGGCCCTACATGGATATGAACATTTTGTAGAATTTCAAGTACCCGGCCCCAATAGGAGAATAAAAATAAAATAAAAATACTTTTAAGCAATTTTAAATTATTTAAACAAATGATGGATTGAGAAGAGGAAATATGCCATATTTAGTCGGACATCCCAGTCAAAATTTGATTTGTACATGTGAGGGAGATCTATTCTCTGGTGGGATTAATCTTCTTGTCAAAAGCAGAAAGATTTATTTCTGCTATATTCTCATTAAAAATAGAAAGGAATTAAAAACAATCTTACGCTTTCACTTTCATGGCATCTTTATTAACAGGAGTGACTTGAGAAAGTAATGTCTGGCATTCTTCAAGAATCTGTCGAGGGTTTCGTTCTACTCGAGGAAGGTCCATTCCAATGTCCAGTTCGGCAGCCATCTGCTCGGCCTGCTGCAGCAGGTCCCCAAAACCAGCGCCTTCTATATTCATCTTGGCCTCTCTTGTATAAAGAAAGCTACTAAAAGAAAAAAAAATTCCAATTAGGAGGTAAAAAAACATTTTAGCATTCTACCTGCTTCATAAATACCAGCTCACAATGTTTACCCCCACCCACGTATATTCAGCCGTAATATATGACGACATCATCGGAAATAATGAAGGAAGTCACACAAATAGTGAGACTTTGAGTGCTGATATTTACAGGGTGTGTTTGAGAGTGCTAAAAGTTTTAATAGCAAAAGGAACAGCCCAACATTTAAATTACAAATTGGAGATACCATCTACGATATAATACAAACAATAATCTTTATTTAACCCTTTAGCATTCAACCCACCCTGTAAGCACGGTCTCTCAATGTTCAACCTGCTGTAACCCGCCTCATATATACTCTATCATAATATATGATGACATCAGAAATAACACAGGAAGTCATGCAAATGGTGAGACCTTGAGAGCTGATGTTTACAGGGAAGGTTTGAATGTGTTGAAAGCTAAAGGGCTGAATCAGTAATTATATATATATATATATATATATATGTAAAAGGCAGGATATGTGTGTGTGTGTGTGTGTGTGTAACGAATGCACGGACGCAATTTTCAACAGATTAGCACCCAAATTTACATGCACAAAGTTAGCAGGAAGGGCAAGACCGACTTTGCATTTCCCAACTCCCATCGACAGTGGAAATAATCAATTTTTTCATGCTTCTACAGCAGTTTTTATGTAGTTTGCGGCCATTTTCTACTGGCCAAAGTGAGAGCCTATAGCTGGCTGCCACGAATGTTAACTAGCATGCAAAAAAAAAAAAAAAAAAAAAAAAAAAATCGATTGTCACAAGTGGGAAAAAATTTAAATCTGCATGGCACTTTACTCCAAATGGCTCATTAAACATTTAAACTCAACGTTTATTCTGATTCCGCAGAACTGGGTTGGGTGTGAAAAAGTATTTGTTGCTAACATTCTTTTTTCATTCGGTTTTTCCAGTTACGAGTCCTTTTTTTTAAAGGTGTTCATTTTGTTTAGTTCTTTTTTCATAACAGATTTAATGTTTAGTATAGAGTTTAGAAAAAAATTCGGAGTGTGAGATAGGCAAGAAGAAAAGCATGTAGCAACATCAGCATGGCAAAAGGCACTCCTTTAAAGGCAAGGAAGGGCAAAAATATTTTAAGTCAAGTAATAGCGATTGCTGTACGAGTCGTACGATTTTTGAATCAAGCACGGGCAATGCTGCTAGTACATACATACATACATATATATATATATATATATATATATATATATAAAAAAAAAAAAACATTGCAACAATTTTTACATTTCTTAAAAAAAATATCAGGATCATTTTTCTTCTTATTTAATTGTGTATACCCAAATACAACCTGTCAAGAGGGGAGGGGTAGCAAAAAAATCCTAAAAAATTATTTGGTCATTTTATCAGATTTTAGGAATTGTATCAATTTGAGAACTTTTCAACATCACAAGCCCTACTGAGATTATTCACAGTTAGTCGTCTCCGATGGTTCAGGCACGCAGCTAGACGCCCAGAGGGAGAGCTCACCCGTAATGTACTTCTCCCTCCTCCTTTTCGTGGCTGGCGAAAACGTGTCGGTGGGCAGCTGAGGACGTAGGCTAGCACAATCAAGGATGACCTAGCAGTACTATTGGGTCCACAAGTAGTTGGTCTCCAACGATGGAATTGCGATTGGCTCGCCATTTTGTGTGACCTGGCTCAGGATCGGCGAGCATGATGTACTCGCTCAGGAGGAAGCCGGTTCAACCCGACCATGGTGAAAACCGATACAAATCAAGTTAGATTAATATCCTCATCCCCATAGCCATCACAATGTTTTGGTTGTTGTGTGCTCTGGGCTTCTTCTGGTGTCTGCCAATCTGGGTAACCTTCAGGGAATTTTGAAATGAACCCATTAATCTATTTAGAGAGGACAATACCTTAGAGGAATAAAAATGCTGATGAGGTTGTCTTGAATGGCTACTCTTCTAGATCTTTTTTACCAATGACATTCCTAATGTCATCAGTTCATGACTCAATATCTATGCTGATGACTATTTATTTCAGTCTTTATTATAAGTCCGACAAAGACAAATTGGCATCCGATCTTGAAAATGACCTTCAGAAACTGGGATAAGAAATGCTTTGTTTATTTTAATACCACCAAAAGAAAACTTCTTTCCTTTATCATAGAGAACTTTTTTTTTTTACCATCCACCAACATGGCTGATGCTGACATCCAGAAAGCAACTCCTTGCACTTTTTTTGGTCTTATGTTTTCTACTGATATGAAGTGGAAAGATTATATTGAATCAACGTCTGCTGCTATGAAAGTTGGTTCATTTTCATTTCAGATGACACTCTTCAGGTTTTGAATTCAAAGTTGTCCTCCAATTTACTCAGAGCTTGGGAAGTGGTGGGAGAGAAGAGATGGATTCATACCTTTCCCCAAGGGTGTTTACCCATAAGTGAATATCATGAATTCAGCTCAGATTCCTCAACCTGAGCTACTATCCATTATCTTACTTATTATAAAACGCAGATTGTGTGTGTGTGTGTGTGTGTTCGTTTATATATTAGATCAGATTTCCTACATTTTTCAACCGATTTCAAAACTTCACAGGACTGCGTAAAATTACCTTGCGGTGGTTCTGACAGCGCCAAAAATTGGAAATACACAATTGTTTTTGCACAAAATCAATTGGAAAACACGATTCTGTCGCCAGAATGGAAGGGGGACAACTCATATAGAGTTATACTTATAAAACCCAGGTTGTTTGTGTGTGTTCGTTTATATATGGGATCGGATTTCCTACATTTTTCAACCAAACTTGGCAGGTAGTGTTCATTGTCTTGCACACTTTTTTCTTTATTTTTACATTCAGAATGCTTTAAAAATTCCATTTACAAGACAATTGTTTATAATAAAATTCTATTCAATCGATAGACTCATAATGATTGAAAACAAAGTTTTTGTTTGAGTTTGACCAATTCATAAAAAAAACAAACAAAAAAAAACTAATTAAGACATGTGTGTCCGTCAACCTTAAACAATAATCTTTGTCAATTTTATTTTTCAGTCTTTATGATGTTCGATACTTGATCTATCTCTTACTGTTACATCCCCGGGCTTTACTGCTATATATATATATATATATATATATATACACACACACACACACAGGTAAGATGAGAATGAATAGAGTATAATCCCAATATTCATTACATTTAACTTGAAAGAGGGCTCAATACAAAGTAGAGGAATATTAAATTTAGTTAATCTGACAATGCCTTTTCTTTGATTTTAGTTAAACTGTGTTGCATCATATATAGCTCATCTTCCTGTTAGTATTAATTTAGATTTAATATAATTTTGTATTAATCTCCTGGTAGTATTAGTAACATCTTGTATGGATGTATTGGTATTTTTGACATTTTGCATTGATTGGTTATTGTAGTTAACACCTTATATAAAGAATCTTTAGTTAACTGTTGCATATTAATTCAACAAGTAAATCTATAGATTTAAATTATTTACAGGTTTCTTAAAGAAGTTATTTATTTATCAACTATAAAAAAGGTTTTTATATATGAAACTCACAAAGCATATAAATTGTCTAGCATTTTGTTATATTATCACTTAATTTTTGTTAGGAAATGACATCATCTAAATGTACATTTATCCATCCACATCTACTAGTTTTAACATCTGTTGCTGTCATTGATTTAAAACCTATAGGTCATGACCCATTTATGGAAATTAATTTCTTAATATTTGCTTCTTCCTTTAGTTTAAATTTAAGATAGGTCATGTCTGATTGGTTGATCTGAGCAAAACCCACAAACCTTATAAACCTCACTTTTCTTTCATTCCCCTTTTTGTAAAAAGAGACTGTATTTTGCTTTTAAATCTGATTAAATCATTGACTCACCATTAATTTACAATTGCCTGATGAGATGTGTTGTATGCACATCGAAACACAACTGTAATTGTGTATTGATTTTGACATGTTTTCAACGTAATATCTTAAAGCGCATAAATTATATATATATATATATATATATATATATATATATATATATATATGTGTGTGTGTGTGTGTGTGTGTGTGTGTGTGTGTTTATAATATATATATTCTTGTTTATGATCACAATCCCCCTCCCCTGCCAGAGGGAGTGATGTGGATTTCCTTATCTCTCACTAGGTTCTTTAGTGCATTTAGGTGTCTCAGTGGTAATGTATTTTTTATAGTTGGTTTCTATTGTAGCAGTGATTATGCCTTGAAAGTAACCTTTGGTGAATTCAGAATCGTTTTACTTGTGATTTTTTCTTTACTATAGTGTCTGCTATATATATATATATATATATATATATATATATATATATATATATATATATATATGTAAAACCAAACAGCTAAGATAATAAAAATCTGGCGTCTCAACACCAATCAATGCTACTTCACATTTAATAATGACTGTTATAACAAAAATTTGGATTACCAATGGGATCACCTCTCAGTGGAGTAATGGCATGCATCTTCTTAGAATTTCTTGAATCCAGCCCTTTCCAAAATATTTTACCCAAACAAATCAACATGCTTTCGTTATATTGATGATGCTCTACTTAGTATATATCCTTGTGATACTGATCTACCTGACTGAGTAGATCAACTAAACAAAGTCAAACATACAATGGAATTTACATACAAAATGGAAGAACACAATTCCTTACCCTTTCTAAGCCACAGCACATTAATAACAATTTAAAACTTGCTGTCCAACCAACAAAAATTACCTAATAAATTTCTATTCCTATTCTGGTAATATCATCAGATTCTACTTAAAAGTACTAAGAATATGCAGCTCAGATTATTTACATGAAGAAGAGAAATACATTGAAAACAAAGTTCTCCAGTACCCTAATTATTTTATATTCAATTTGAAACAAAAACACCAAAAATATTCCAAAACAAAAAAAC